AAAAAAAAAAAAAGATTGGTGCTTACTCACATAAAATAATAAGTAAACATTCGCATAATATTTCAAAAAAAAAAAAAAAAACAGAAATAGACGATAGCAAGAAAACCGAGCAAGAGCTTCATACTTTCTTTAATTTTCTCCAACAATCTCGTATTTTCCTTAATTTTTTTTTTCTTTTTTTTTTATTTTTACTTTGTAACAGATTTGGTGTTTTAAAAATTTCAAAATAACTCTCAATTTAATGATGTTAACCGGGCCGGGCTGGGTAAGGGTCAGGTCGTCATTTTTTAAAGAAAAACATATAGAATAATATAAAAATAAATGAATAAATAAAAACGGATCATCAGCCCGGACACGGCCCATCCAAAATCCGGTCTGGGCTCAGACCCGTGGTCAATGTGTTTGACCGAGCGGGGTCCGTGCCAGGTCGGCGGGCCAGACGGCCCGTGGCCACGTCTAATAATGATAACATTTTATATTATGTATTTTTACAACCAGAATTTAAATAATAAATAATATATTTACATTCAAGAGTCATAATATAATGTTCAACCATGCTACTCACCCCGTTATTTGTCTACTCCCTTGCTACTCCCTCATTGTAAAATGTATACGTTTTAACAACAAAAGAACCAACACATAGAGTTAGCACCAAAGTTAACAATTATACTCCAGACCTTTGCATTTACAAAGGGATAAGGAGAATTAATAATACTCCTTTAAATAGTACTATATGAATTTGTGGAAATAGTATGGACGTATCTTTTTTAATTATATGTTTGTCCCTCTCTTATAGCAAATTGGTTATGCTGGCCATTCAGAAAAAAAAAATAAAAAAAAAAATAAGGCAACAATACTGCAATTGTTTATTTTATAATTATATGCCCCCATAATTTGCTAGAATAAAAAAAATCAAGAACTTATACAATCATTGGTGGGCCACAAAAAAAAAATTGACTTTCAGGGCATCCATTAAAATTATTTTGAGGTGTTTTTTTCTCAAGTCTCAACGCACAACAAAAACATTTATTCTTCCAATTAATAAGGATTTAGATGAACAAACTACAAAATAATAGGCAACGACAATAGGAAAAGAAAAAAGAGAGAACAAAAAAAAGAGAAAATTTCTCCGAAAATATTTCATGCACACGGGTCAACCGTCAACGTGCAAGTTGCAATATGGACCACAGCACTACGACCTTTTAACAATATTTTATTCACATTGTTTCAATCCCTTATTTAATTTTATATATTAATAAATTTGATAATGTGTATTTTTATATAAAGTATATTAAATAAATTAAAGATGTACTCATAGTAGTCTCATACTTTGTGATATTTTTAATGATGAGATAAAATCATAAAATAATAGAAGAGTTTCGAGTCTCCGAGGACTCCTTTTCCTTTTAAACATCGGAAAAGTATCTTACCGATCTATAATTAAATTGTCAACATAAAAATCTATAATAGTAATATAAAATTAAGAATTAATATTCTATTTTCAAGTGCCGTAAGCTATTGGTATCATCATCTCCACACTCTGCGCACCTAATATTCTGTTTTTGATCCAATTCTTGAATTTTGATCATTCAAGACCTGGTCTCGAGCTTTACAAGGTGGTCTTTTTTTGGGCAATTTTTAAAAGACCCATGTTTTTTTCTTGAGGTTTGTTTACTCAATATGTTTTCAAATCTGATTTGTTTCGATTTCCTTTCGTAGTTTTATGGTTATTTCTGGGTTTTGGTTCGGTGCCTTTTGTAGCAAATGGTGAGTTTTCCTTTTGTAGTTAATGGGTTGTTTATGAAGCTTTTGTCACTGTACTCTAATAAGGACTTTTGGGTTTTGCTGGTATTTGTAATATGTATGTGTTTTGTTATATATGTTGTGTGTAATTTTTTCTGAGGACGAAAAGATTAATTCTATCTTGTTTTTTCAGAAACGTTTATGGTCGAATGGGGATTGTGGAGTATAAATTTGTTGCAACTTCTGATGAAAAGAAGGATATTTTTCAAAAAAAATAAAAATAAATAAAAAATTGTTAGTTTCTAGTTGATTGAGTGATTATTTGAGATTTTGGTCAATATTAAGTTTGAGATTTTGATGGTGGTTGTAATATGCATGTGTTTTGTTGAATATGTTTTGTTTAATTGTTTATGTGAACGAAAAGATTAGTTCTTTCTTGTTTTTTCAGAATTTTTTATAGTCGAGTGGAAAGTAAAAATTTGTTGCAACATGTGAAGAAAAAATTGTTCATTTAAAAAAAAAATAAAAATTGTCAGTTTCTAGTTAATTGAGTGTTTCTGATTATTTATAGGTATATTCACTATTATTTTTGAGATTTGGATTTTGCTGGTTAGTTGTAATATGTACGTGTTTTGCCAAATATGTTTTGTATAACTGTTTCTGAGGATGAAAAGATTAGTTCTTCTTGTTTTTATCAGAAGATTTTTAGTAGTCGAGTGGAATGTATAAATTTGTTTAAACTTGTGAAGAAAAAGGGAAAATTTTCAATTTTTTTTTCTTTCTTTTTATAGTTTCTAGTCGATTGAGTGATTGATTAATCGTGGCAACACATGAGTAAAATGAAGTTCAAACCTCAATTTGATTTCACATCATTGTGTAGTTTAATTTTTTCAGTAAGTTGTTTCTAGTGATTAATAAGTAACTCATGTCATTTTTTTTTTTATTTTCTTTTACTTTTAGTGAAGCTTTTCTAGAGCCTGTGTAGATTTATTTGTATAATACATGTATGAATGTAAAAGTTTACACATCAATCTTTAGCTTGTACTCTGTTTGCCTTTTTTGTGTTTTTATGCTGTTTAAGTATGTATTTTCGAAGCAATTCTTTGGCTACTAAAAAATTCCATGTTAGTATTGTTAAATGTTAAATCATTCATTGCTTTTAGATAACTTCCACTCGATTTTCCTCTGTTAAATTAAGAGATATCTGCATATGACAGATCAAATGTGACGTCATCATCTATGTTTTTTTCGGTGCCGACTTCTAATCTAGCATCTCATTTATAACCTTCAGCAGGAACACTTAAAAAAGGGGCAAAAAAGAAAAATTTCGTGAGCCTTAATCAGAAGTAGTTGCTATGGAAAAAGATGATGTCTATACACAAGATGGGACATTGGATATCCACAAAAGACCGGCGAATAAGCTTAAAACCGGGAATTGGAAAGCCTGCCGATTTATTCTTGGTGATTTTTATTTATTAATTTTCTCAATTTGTAGCCTGCTTCTATTTCCGAAGTCGTATTTATCTGTATTAATAATGGTTAGTTAAAACTGATTTTTTGTTTTTGTTTTCCCTTCTTTACTTTTCAATAATAAAACAAAAGTTACCGAGTGCTGCGAGAGGCTTGCTTACTATGGCATGGGCACGAATTTGGTGAATTATCTCATAACACGTCTCGGCCAAGGGAATGCAACTGCCTCGACAAATGTCACTAATTGGTCGGGAACTTGCTATATAACGCCTTTGTTCGGTGCTTTTCTTGCTGATTCGTATTTCGGCAGATATTGGACCATTGCTACTTTCTGCACAATTTATGTCATTGTGAGTTCTGTTTTTCCCTTAATCTGGTCATTTAAATGTTCAGCATTCGTTTANACCAAGGCCTCGACTGCCACCCGGCGCCCCTACAAACCGGCATCACATTCACAGCTCTATACCTAATCGCGCTCGGGACAGGTGGCATCAAGCCGTGCGTTTCCTCCTTTGGCGCCGACCAGTTTGACGAGCAAGACACGAAGGAAAAGAAGCGAAAAAGCTCGTTTTTCAACTATTTCTACTTCTCGATTAACGTTGGGGCCCTCGTGGCCTCGTCCGTGCTTGTTTGGGTTCAGATGAATGTCGGTTGGGGTTGGGGATTCGGGATTCCGGCAGCTGCCATGGCCGTGGCTGTGGCCTTCTTTGTGTTCGGGAGTGGAATGTATCGACTGCAAAGGCCCGGCGGCAGCCCGATCACGAGGATTTTTCAAGTCTTGGTTGCTTCGTTTAGGAAGTTTAACGTGAAGGTACCGAAAGACGGGTCGCTTTTGTACGAGACGAGCGATGCCGCGTCGAGTATTCAAGGTAGCCGCAAGCTCGAGCACACGGAGAAGTTCAGGTACGTACTTTTGGTGTTTTGTAGTTTTCGTCGAATGTTCGATTTGAAAAATCGAAATTCGGGTTGGGTTTCTTTGTGTATTACTAATGAAATCCCTCAAAACATGTCGCGATTTGGAAATTAGAACCAAAAAAATAAATCAAGGGGCAGTTGTAATTTACGGTGATTTAACATGTTTGTTTGGCTTATAAGCTTTCTGTATACAAATAAACCTCGTTTGGCATTACGGACTTTTTTAAAAAAGCTCTTACTTGAGTAGCTTTACAAATAAGTCGCCCCTTGAAATTTTTTATTTCAGCCTAATTTTAACACTCTCTTATCTTATCTTATTAGCTAGCTTTTCAACCATGGACTATCAGCTATAAGCTCGAAATTCACTTATAAGCTATCAGCTAACTTATCTACTAGTTTATCTGCTAGGTTTACCAAATGTAGCCTAATTTTTATACTGAATCTACAACTTTATCAGCTAATACACTTTCTATCATATTAGCTAGCTTTCGTTATGAGATACAAGCTCAGAATTCACTTATAACCTATTATTAGTTTATTTATCAGTTGGGTTTTACCAAACATAGCCTGAATTGTTTTATACTGAATCTACAACAGTTTCCTCGACAAGGCCGCGGTGGATACGGGCCCCGACATCCTCAAATCGGGCCACGACAACCCGTGGCGCCTCTGCACGGTAACCCAAGTCGAGGAGCTAAAGTCAGTTATCCGCCTCCTCCCCGTTTGGGCGACGGGCATCGTTTTCTCGGCCGTCTACAGCCAGATGAGCACCATGTTCGTTTTACAAGGAAACACGATGGACCAACACATGGACTCGAAATTCAAGATCCCGGCAGCTTCCCTCTCCCTCTTCGACACGCTAAGCGTCATCATTTGGGTCCTCATTTACGACCGCCTCCTCGTCCGCCTCGCCCGAAAATACACGGGCCACGAACGAGGCTTTACTCAACTCCAAAGGATGGGAATCGGGCTCGTCATCTCCATTCTAGCCATGATTGTGGCGGGCTCGTTGGAAGTCGTTCGTCTCGACTACGTGAGGCGACACGATTTGTACGACGTAGAGACGGTGCCTATATCTATATTTTGGCAAGTTCCACAGTATTTTATCGTCGGTTGCGCCGAGGTTTTCATGTTTATCGGTCAAATGGAGTTTTTTTACGATCAAGCGCCGGACGCTATGCGGAGCATGTGCTCGGCTTTGTGTCTAACGACGACGGCTTTGGGGAATTATTTGAGCACGTTGCTTGTGACGGTCGTGACTCGGGTGACGACAAGTGGTGGGAGGCTAGGGTGGATCCCGGACAATCTGAATAGGGGACACTTGGACTATTTCTATTGGCTGTTGGCCGGGCTTAGCCTCGTCAACTTTTTTGTGTATTTGTTGATCTCCAAGTGGTACGTTTACAAGAAGGTGGCCGTGTAGGCTCGGTGATTGGGCCCGAAAGATGCGGGCTTGGACTATTCATGGGCTGGGCTTTTATGTTTTTTTTTTCCTTTTCTTTTTCTTTATCTGGATTGGTTTTTTTCCACTTTGAGGAGTTTTCTGGGTTTCTTTTGCAAGGAATAATGCTATCCATTTCACTGTTATTTGGTGCAGTTTCTGTCTGTTTTTGCTTTTGTTAATTTGAATTGTTTACTTTTGTTTTGGACTTATTAGTGAAGCCCAATGGGCCCAAGCATACACTAAGTGCATGGGCTATGACCTTTTTTGAGTAAAGGTGGTGGCCTACTCAGAAAGAGGAAAAGGGCAAAAAGATGTGTGAAACTGTGAATGATGATGATTGCTTAATTTTTATTTTTATGATGTTTAATTAATAATGGCAGTGACAGGAACTTGACCTGGCTTTGGATTTTGAGCCTCTCTTTATTTATATCATTGTTATTTTTATCATTATTATTATTTTTGTGTTTTAATCTTTTCTTGCTAACCTTACTTTCCTATCTTCACCTCACTCAACAACTAGCATGATGAATTGTTTTTTGCCGCTACTTTTTGACTTTCATTTCTCCAATCTCTAGCTTTAACATTTGTACCGCATGTGTGAAACTAAAATCTTGATAGAAAAACACTAGGAATATTACCATGTTGTGTGAGTGGAGTTTGAACCGTCAGATGAACACAAATCAGCACTAGGTATGTGTTTGTGTTTGATCTGACGGTTCAAATTCTAATGTGAATAGTGAGGTTAAATCCTCCAACACGGGAATGGAAGCTCTCTAAAATTTTAGAAAAACAAATGAAGTTTTAATATAATTGATATATACATCGTTTTAAAGGCCATCTATGGTTTCCATTTTTGCTAATTTTTTTAAAGGGTAATGGCAAATAGGGAAGATTCGACTTGATATATAGAAAGTGTATTGATCCAATAGTAGAAAAACTCGATCTGCAAAAATGGGCAAAACTTAAGCATGTGTAGTAGAACAAAAGCACAAAACTCATAAAAAGGGATAGCATTAACAAAGCCTTCACAACTCACAAGTAACAACATTCGCCTTAGAACCAACCGAGTCACACTATCACATTTGGGAGACAAATATGTCCATTTTCCTTTTCTTTTCCTCTTTTGTTTTCTCCTTTTCTTTCTTGGACCAAATTATAGTCTTCCCTTTTTNTCTCTTGATCTTATGAACTCAAAAACCGAGCATCTGCACTAGAAGTAAGTAGCGTCTCGTGGTTATTGCAACCACTTTACGAGCCTAATGACGCGAGTTTCGCTTTCGAACCAAAGTTGCATCAACAATAATGGAAATGCACGTGTTAACACCACCAAAAAACAATCTTGTGACTAACTTGGGTGTAAAATGCTTCAAATTACATGAGTAAACATTGGATTCTTGTCCAAAAAAAGTTTAACTCCTATACATATATGCCTTTGTGGACATCAATCACAAAACCAAAGCACCTTAAAGAGATGAAACAAACAAACATGAAGTGAGAGCACAATTAATGCCCCATGATTTTAATCATGAAAATGGAAACTGAAACTACTAAGCAATATTATGAGCTGCAAGAAGAACACATAAGACCATTTTCTCATTATTAAAATAACCCCATAATAATTTTCCCCTCATCACATATCCATATCCAAATTGCACTGCAAAAACTAAAAACCAAGACCCCAATAGACACAAATGTGGTATTACACAGACAAATGCAGCAAAAAATTTGCAGCAAGAGTCAGTAAAACACAACACATTCCTAATACAATAACNNACCTCGAAAATTCGATCTTTTTTAGTACAACCTCAGCACGCTCCTAGCAATCGAGTGCGAATTATTTGGCTTGAAACCCCCTTTCCGACTATTCCTCATAGGCGTCAGGTAAAACCTCAAAAGCCCGTTATCCACAACATCGTTAGCCGAGTACCTCGCACTTCGATTTTTCTCCAAAACAAACTCATCCCTCTTCTTTTTCCCATTCGCCTGCTCGGATTTCCTCATGCTCCCAAACAAGCCCAATCCATGGCCCGAGCCATCGATTTGATTATGATTATGATTCCCATTCCGCCAGCTCACGCTACTATTGCTCCGGAAAATGTTCCGACTCGACCGAGACCTCAAGTCTCCGTTTTCCCCTCCCAAACCATGCCACGACTCGGAAAATGACCTTTCTACCCCCCCACCATTTGTCCGACCGTATTTCTCATCCTTACTACTATTATTATTATTACTACGCCGGTTTATGAAACTCAAACCCCATATCCTCCAACTCCACCTCCTCGACTTTTTCGACTCCTTCTTCTCCTCACTCCCCACAAAAGAATTCCCACTCTCCCCTCCAAACACGCCACTACCCAGCTCGAAAGTCTCTGAACAACAATCATCCCCCCTCGAGAAAGACTGCGAATTTACACTCGAGTCCCTCAAGTTATTCGTACTATCATTATTATTCTCACCCTCCACCATCACTTTAGCCCCATGAAAGCAATCGGTAGAAATCAACCTAAGCTCGTCGGGCTCGGACCCCAACACCACCGATTTCCTCATCGAGCTCGACCTGTCGAGACTCTTTCTCCTTCGAGAGGACGACGAGTCGAGGTAATACTCTCTCGTCTGCATCGAACCTCCCGGCACAACAACACTTTCGCCCTCGTTGGCGCAATTTACCGAATTGCCCTCCACCGGAATCTGCATATCCGAGCGCGGAACTTGGCGTGCTCCGGCGGGCGAGGTGTCCTCCATGACAGAGACCATAGGATGCATTCTCGGGAAGCTGCGGCCGATGATCAAGTGTCCGTCCCAAGAGGCTCGAGGCTCGTCGAACGAGTAACGAGGGTCGTCGAGGCTTGCTCGAGCAGCGTCGAGGGAGAATCTCGGTGCCACGTCACAAGATCTACGGCCGAAGCCATAGTCGGCGATTTCGGATTGGGTTTCTCTGTACTGTCTTGAGATGGGCTTTTCAACGGGTAAAGTGGCGAAATTGGTGCCGTTGATGAGGGGTTTTTTGGACTTTTGCTTCCGCCGCCACTTGTGCCGCCACTTCTTGCTGAAAACGGAGGCGGCAGCCCAGAATCCGGAGGTTTTCTTCTCATGAGTGTTGATGATGTCAATGTGGTCTTTCATGGGCTTCAAGTCTTCTACTTCTTCTTCTTCTTCGATTGTGTTGTTGCTATTGGGTTCTTTTTCAAACGAATTTCTCAAATTTTCCAAATGGGTGTCTCTAACGGGTTTAATTTCGTCGCCATCATCGTCGGAATCATCATCGCATACAAGGATAGGGTCCTGAAAGTAGACGGGGTCTTTGAAATTCTCCTGATTTGCGGTTTCCTCGAAAACGGGTTTATGGGCTACGGATGGTTTGGGGATTTGGGGGTTTTGGTGAGAGGTTGAGGCAATCGAAGGGGCTGGAATGGAGGAGGGTTTGGTGGAGCTCTGATTACAGTTTCCGGCGGCGGTTTTAGAGCCGTCGTCGATCGTGAACAGGGACGAGAGGGTGCTTCTCGCCCTCACGTCGCAGGACTTCCTCTGCGGCTCGAACGAGGGCCCTAGGGCTTCGTTCTTCGAGGCGGAGAAGGACTTGGTGCGGCGGAGCTCGGGGAAAAACGAGGGTTTCGAGGGTTTGGGCGCCGCCGCCGCAGGCGGCGGCGGCTGCGGGGGTGCGGGGGGCTTGGGGTTGGAGGAGAAGAGGGACCTGATGGCGGCGGCGGCCGCGGCGGAAGCGGAGGAGGGGCGGCGGGAGGAGGAGGGGGTGTTGGAGGAGGACTGGTCGAGGGTGGTGAGGCGCTCGCAGAGGCAGGACGGGCAAAAGCCGGTGAACTGCTCGGCGGGGTGGCGGTCGCAGCTGAAGGAGGATCTCGGCGGCTGCTGCTGCTGCTGCGGCGGCGGAGNTGGGTCTCAACGGGTGAAATGAGCTTTGAAGAGTGTGGGAAAGGAGAAGGGAGAGAACGAAATTAAAGAGCTAAAAAATAAATAAGTAAATTTTATTTTGTGTTTTTTGTGTTTCTCTATAAATAAATTAGTACTATTACTTTTATGTTATGAACTTTTCCGTTGGATGCTTTCTAGTAGGAAAGTACGTTTCTACCCTCTGTGGTTTAATTGCGATTTATGCATGTTACTGTGCACTCCGAGTTGGATTATTTATTGTATTTCTAGTTTGGGTCAATATAATGATACATACATATTTGGATAACGCACATTTTAACTCCTATTTATTGTGTATTTATGTGTAGTAACTACTAATGTAATCACAATTTGAAGTACACAAATTCTTCTCTCACAAAGTTCTAATCATTACTAGTACTTATTTTTTTAAAAAATATACTATATTATATTATGAAATGTTATACTAATTCTTTTATATTATTGTTATAATATGACATTTTAATTTTCAAAAATTATTTTTAAAAAATGCATGACCTTGTTTATTTCATTTTTTAAAATTTTACTGTTTTGTGTTTTTAGACATTAATCTAAATCCTATTTTATATACTTTGTCACTTTCGATTTTCAAAGATTCCTGTCGGAGAAAAAAAAAAAAGTAAAAGCTCTCTCAATGTGAAATCTGAATGTGTTTTCATTCTCAAATCCCTTTCTTTGCTTTTCCTTTTTTCACCTTCGATCCTTCTACTTTTCTTTTTCCTACAGTTAGATGTTTTTTTATTAGCTTTTGGATTTTCCTTTGAGTTTTTTTATTTCTTTCTTTGCTTTTTTGCAATTTTCCACAATAAAATTTATGAATTTTTTGTATCACGACTTATTAATGTTCAAGCTCAATTCATTAAGACACGAGTTCAACCTGTTAATAATGATAAACAAACTGAATTTGAGCTCGTTTATCTGTTAAACTCGATAAAAACCCGAGCCCGAATTAAATTATCTGAAGTTCGAGCTCAAATCAACTTGTGTACACCTCTATATATATGGTCCAACATCCAAAAATATCAACATAAAAAGATGATATTACATAGTTTTACAAATTAACAACATTTAAAATTATTTCATCATAAAATTTTTACCCATGGTACAATAAGCAAACTCGTGAATAAAATTATAGAATTTTCCGTGGTTTATATTGTTCCAATTTTACAATTTTTTGTGTGGTTAATACTGAGCCAACTGCTGGCAAAAATAATTAAATGTTCAATGTAGATAATAGAGGCTATATTAATGGCTGTCACACTTACCATCCGTGCAAAAACCTATTAACAATTTTACTGCAATTTACTTTTAGTATTATTTAATAATAAATGTAGACATTAAGGGAGCCATTGGATATTGTTTCAACAGTTAAAAAAATCAATCAAAATTCAAATTTAACTCAACTTTAACTCAACCCCACTATCTTCAATTTTATCAATACAATTAAATAATATAACTAATCATTCTTTAATTCACTATTCATCCACTCACATAATTTTAACTAACTATCACTTCCAATCATTTTTCTCCTACTTTACATCAAATCAACTTTAATTATTTTATTTAAATGTTAATTTAATATATCCACTAACAACTAACCATACCATTTTTTTTCAAAATTAACTATAATTAAAACCAAACCAAATAAAAACTAGTTGAATTTAAACAATCACACTCTAAATAAGGCGCATTTTTCATCTAATTTTTAATTACGGCTTTCTAAAAGGAGGGTGAAATTAATTATCCTTTAACCCAGCATTAAGTAAAGTAAGAAAACACAAAGCACTTTTTGAGTTGGAAATAATTTCATGCTTTTTATAAAAAGGGGTGAAATTCATCTTCAGGGTTTATGGAAATTCCATAGGAAAATAAAATATTTATCTAGAAATGAAATGATTATATATATGTATGTAAGTCTGTATGTGTGAAATCTAATTTTATTTCCCTTTAGAAACATTAAAAGATAATATAAACTAAAATAAATAAATAAATAAATAAGTGTGTGAAGAAAGGTAGGGACATGTCCAAATGAGTCCAAATTGTGTTTCCTCTGGAGTTGCCCTGAAAAAGAAATAACACTGCCCATTCAAAAACAAATGTATGTTATTTTTATTTCAACAAAGGAAAATATAATTTGTACCTAAAGTTTCTTCTTTTAAATGAAAAGCTAAGTGTGACATAGTAAAAACAAACTCTAAAATTATAAATGTGTAAATATATTCAATAAAATGCTATTTGTAGAGCTCATACTAACATACTTTTTTTATTTACAAAATGTGTATATTTATAATAAATAAAATGTACAACTTTTTTCTTTTTGCGTCAGTTAAACTGCTATTAGATAGTTATACCATTTCCAATACGATAGTTAAAAAAATATATGACATTTTATAACATACATACGTATAGTTAAAAAAATAACGAGTCGATTTGTCTAACAATTAGTATCACATATCAGAAATTGCATTTACAAATGGTCCAATTTTCATTATTTGCTTCACTAAGATCAAATATGACCCTTTAATTTGGGGTAGATATGTCCCATCTAATTAATTAGGTGAGACTTAATAAAGACTTATGAGATAAAAAAAACTATTGGAAATTTAAATGCCGTTATAGCCGGTGAATATATAAAAGAAAAGACCAATAAATATGCCAATCATAAAGTATAATGTAAAAGAAAGTAGATGTCTATAGTCATGATAGTTGTTGATATGGCTCATTAAAATGGCGCAGCCCCTATTAAAGCTAGATATTAAATTCAATTATTTTTAGACAAAATAGTTAAGAGAAATAAAATTACAGTTGGAGTAAATTTAATTACTTACGTTGGGACTACATGCATAAATTTATAATGAACGGTGCTCTAGAAAAACTAAACGTAATGTTGAAGTTGAACTTGAAAGAAATATAACAAAAATCCAAATGAATAAAATTCCAACATTTGAGATGAGATAACTAGTTAAAAAATCGTAACCTGTCAGTGTATTGTCTCTCTTGTATTATGTATGCATATAAACTATAAAGACTATGTTTGGTAGATCAATAAGTTAGTTTATAGTTTATCTGGTTAGCTTATAAACTTATTTTGGTAGGACAATTTTTTTCAAAAAGCTCGAGCTTATTTCATAAGCTTCTTTAGAGCTATGTTTGATAAAACTAGCTGATAAGCTAGCTTATAACTTGTATGTAATTTTTTGAGCTTATGGCTTATAACGTATGACTTATAGCTTAAAAGCTAGTTTATATGATAAAAGTGTTTGGTAAAATTAGCTGATAAGCTAGCTGAAATAAAAAATTCAACTAGTTTATTTGAAAAGTTACTTAATGTAGCTTATGAGATAAGCTCGAGCTTTTTAAAAAAGCTCGTCCTACCAAACGAGGCTTATTTAAATACAGGAAGCTTATAAGCTAACCAAATAAGCTATAAGCTAGCTTATTTGGCTTACCAAACCAAACACTGCTTAGGTAGATTTTCAAATAAGTCCGTTGAAATTTTTATTTCAACTATCTTATCAGCTAATTTTACCAAACACTTTTATCATATAAGCTAGCTTTTCAGCTATAAGTCATAAGCTATAAGTTATAAACTCTAAAATTACTGATAAGTTATAAGCTAGCTTATCAGCTAATTTTATCAAACAAAGTCAGAGTCGTCATGCAGCGTAGGTAATATGCTAAGCACACGTTTTTTCATAATTAATTTTCTTCATTTTCTCAATTTTGTTTTTAAATTTATCTGATTTTGAATAATAATTTTGCTGTCCAAAATTCACGGGTCACCGTTTATAATTTGCTCAATAATCATTTCATTTTGAACCCAAAGCTGGACAATACGTTTTAATTCTATTAAATATGACTTCGAAAATTTGGAAAATGAGCTATTTTCATAAGTGAAATAAATTTAAGATTCCAAATTAATATACATTCACGATATAATAATTGAAATCAATGTGATAAATATTAATTGATACTCCTAACAGTTAAATTTACGACTGAACGAAATTGTATTGTCTATTGAAAAATATATAATTGTGTTAGTAGTATTTGTGGAGAAAAAGTTAGATGCCATAAACAGTAATTTTTCTGTTTTTTTTTTTTATTTATTTATTTCATTTTCGTTTAAATAAGATAGATCTTGACTTGACAAATCAGATGAAAATGAAAAAAATAAAAATTCAAAGTTATTGTATCTAATATAAGCCTTAGAAACTAGGTTACATTTTTTAAAGATGATTGAGGAGTTAATTGATGAGGAACATTATAAAATATTAAACAAAACAATTATCTTAATTGAGTACTAATATTCTTAGCACTGTCTTAATTGTGTAAAAAGTAATCTCTTCAGTACAATTTATTGTTTTTATGTTTTACCCACCAAAAACAACAGTTCTTCTTTTTCTTTTCCGCTTTTTTTTTTTATTTTTAGTTTTTTTAAAAGCAAAAAACTACATCTTTTGGTGTAAAAGAAACAACGTTTTACGATATAAATAGTGGGCCGTGAATCGCCGCTAAGGTCACGAGTAATATAAGCCCGCGGGTCCAAATTTCCACAATATTCGGGCCGTAGGCCCTACCTTTTTTCTTTTTGGTTGTGGGATCACGGGGCCCATTAACTCCCATTTATTTCACATTTATAAATATAGAAAAAAAAAATTAAAGCATTTAACACTCTAACTATTAAGTTAGTTTATGTGCACCAAATATCAAAGAGTTTCAGATTCAATTTTTCAAATTTTCATATACACCCCAAATTGAAATATTATTTCAAGTTTTTTACACCACCCGTTCGAAATTTATGTTTTATACCCTAAATAACGCGATGTATAATGCAATAATGTGGCATGATCATTTGGTGCAATACTTTGGTGTACAATTATATATATTTGCAAATCATGTTGTGCAATTATATATGATCATATAATCTAAATTAAAAAAAAATTATATATTTTGAAAACGTAGTATATAAAAAATAAAATATAATTTATTTTTTTGTGAAAATAATGCTCGCATATATATATATATATATATATATTGGCGAAAAAACAGCCCATGTGGTTTTGCTAATGGGGTGTGTATATATTTCAATTATGTGCATGGAAACTAGACGTAAAGTGAATCTCTGTCCTTAGCCTTTTCACTTTTTCTTTTATCAAATCAAAGAAAAAGGAAAAGGAGAAAAAAATAAAGATAACAAAGGAATAATAATTATTAAACAAAAAAAAAGATTGATAAAAAAGAATAAATATTTGTCTTTCTAACTCAAGGGTTTGTCTTATCAGGTTCTTGTTTGTTTCACGTAGTTCACATATAATAATTCCGTATATTTGAGACAGAAATTCTATTCCCTGTAGGGAGTGGGCCCCATCAAACCCCAATTCCCATTTTTTCTTATTTGGGTCATACAAATACAAATGAATATAAAGATATTATCGAAATTATCGATACATATATTAATTTCATAGGCCAAGATAAAATTTAGATACGATTTTTCAATCAAAACGAGTTTATGTTAGAAGTCGGCTTTGTTCGGCTCGTTTGATAAATGAATCGAGCTCAAAATCGTTTAATATTCTTTTAGTCAGGCTCATTACAGCTCAAAAATAAAAAAATTTATTAATTTCATATTGTTAAGATTCGAGTTCGGCTCGTAAAAAGTTGAACTTGATTCGTTAATTTTATTAATAAACAAGTTGAACTTGAGCTTGTTTAGTTAACGAACTGAACTCAATTCGACTCAATAAAGTCTCGAGCCCGAACTCGAGTTCCAAGAGCTCCAACTTGACTCGTTTACATCCTTTACCTGCATGTGAAATCTACCCGAATTTTCTATATAGAGCCAATTTTACTTTTTTTTTTCATAATAAATAAATAAATGAGGAAATGCATGCTTCTAAAAAAATAAATGCATGCTCCCACATTATTTGCATAAACTAACTTAATGAACCTGATTATTCCTGAGTTTGATTTACATGACACAAGCATAGTTAGGAGATTTTGTTGACTAATCTTGCAAGGTTGAGATAGATTAAGATTAAAAGTTAGGTAATTAAGGGACAAGAAAATCTAATAGAATCTTATATAGTACACTTTTTTGTGCATTTTATGTTGCAATTTGATACATTAAATAGATTAAAAACAGAAAAGAAGATTTAGAACAGATCAATATAGACATACGAATGAAATAATTAGGAAATCAATTGCACGCACGCTTGGTTCCACCAATTTCGTAGTACCAATTATTTACATCAAATTATGTTGTCTTATGTTAAGGGGATATATCATAATTGCCCATTATCATAAAGAAATAAAAATATTCTTATCACAAAGTTAATTATTATTCATGTCATGTGCTCTCCTAAATGGAATAATTATTTTATTTCTTGGGATCATAATTATTTTATCTTCTCCATACAAAGATAAATAAATAAAAATAAATAAATAAATAAAGGAAGAAAAATAAAAAGATGGGTAGGTATGCTATTACATGTGTAATGCTAGTGGATTGGGTAAATATAATAAATAAATAAATAAAAAGGCATAATTTTCAATTTTCATCATTTGAATGAAATGTCTTAGGGCCCTTCACTTTGGTTGGTCCTCATTTACCCCACAAAAATGCATTTTGTCTAATAAAGAACATACTGTTTATTAATATCCCACTATCTACAAAAAGGAGCCCCCATTTTGGACCCATAATGCCTATTCACATTCTTGATTTTCATCCTATCCTATGAAAGGGAAATTATATTATTGTTTCCCAATATTTGGACTAGCATTATCTAAAATTTGTAAGAATTTAAAGAACATACCAACATTCTAGTCCAAACATGGCACTAGTGACTCCTCCTTAGGGGATTGGACACTACCACTTGAAGGGTAAAATTTAATTTATTATTTTTTTATTAAAATAATGACATATGATGTTCATCACATGCTCACGTTTAAGTACTATTCAATACATAATCATCTATGATTATTCACAAATAGTATTATTGACATGTGTAATAAAAATAAATACACGAAATATTTTTCAATATATTAACTTATATATAATTAGAGTTATCCGATGGCTCCACGTATTTTAATTTATTAGAAAAATCAGATATATAAAATCAAGAAAGAGTTAACTAAACAAAATATATTAGACACGAGCACATATCTTCCTAGATACCAACATTATGGCACGTTTATTGGTCCCATTTTCCTTTTTTTAAAAAGAAACATATTTTATTGAACAGGCCCTGCAAAATCAGAATTTTAACACTGATCAAGATATATCACAATCTTCAAATGCATGCAAGAGAATATAATTTAATTTAAACAGATAATTAACAGTAGCAATATCCAGTTTGAACTATACAGTTCTCTTCTCTCAAGCTAAAGTTAGCATGCAGTAATTCTGACAAACTTACAATATTATTAATACAACAAATTAAAAGTAGCATGCACAAACTCTTTAATGGGTTTTTATAATCTCCAAGAACATGATTGTGCAATAAAAATTATAGTGAAGGAATCCCAAGAAAGAATATAGATTTTGGCATGTTACTAAAGCTGACCCGAAAACCCTTACAATAGGCACATTTTTAGGTAATGCCACACTTGGGATTGACAAATAATATTCCAGCAAATCCTAAGCTGATAATCATGATTGATTTTGGATAATCACTAACTCACTATGGCTTTTGATGCAGTGTAATTCTTTTTAAATTTTTGCATGAAAATCATCAAAATAATTTGCACTTATGCATGTTAGACTGAGACAATATATGAGTTTATGTATTTGTTATTTATTTAACAGAGTGAGATAACGTAACAACTCCCATCATTTTTATCAACATATGAAATTTAGCACTTACAACCACTATTCATATGCATAAATAGCTAACATTTTATGCTTTATACAAGTTATAATAGAATAATATATACAAATTATTAAGATTTTTTTAGATGAATTCAACAGAAGTTGAATGATCATCATATGATAAAAGCATAGATGACCATGCGCCTTTATTTTTCTTCCTTTCTGAGGAGGAAAAAAGTGGGGTGCCACAAAAGACTCAATTTGAGTTCATTCCAAGCCTGTTTATGCCTCAACTTTGGTTACTTTTTATTTATTTATTTATTTTTTGAAGGAATTTTTTGAAGTTCGTTTGAAGCCATATTGAAATTATTCTATATTCCATAGACAGAGAACTATAGACCAACTTTTGAGAGCCCACATTTAGATCCAAATTTGATAAAAATGTGTACAAATATTTTTATTTTTATATTAAATTCAGTGCCAAGCTATTCTACAAAGTTTACTCATTTTGAGGCCTTTATCAGCTTCCACAATGATTCAAATACATTCTTGTAAACACGTCAAATTACGATGCAAATAAACGAAAAGTCCACATTCATAACAGGAAAATCTAATTTCAACTTATTGACCTCTAGTTTTTATGAAAATTTTGCAACAAATTTTACCCAACTTAATTGTAAAAGAACATACAACAAATCTGGAGAAACAATAATATACAAAGGCCAATCCTATCTGACTAACTCCTATAATAATCTAAAACAAGTATAACAACAGTGTGCCGATTGAGTTTCGACCGAAAACACAAAGGCACACACAAACACACATACAATTAAAAAAAACCGTTGATTTCTCGCTGTCGATACTTTTTGTTTTGTCTCAGCAAGACTCCTAACCACTCTAAATATCGAGAAAAACAGATTACGAAAGCTTCATACACTAGAGCTCATTGAAACTTACTTCTCAATCACCTACGACGAGCTGAATGGTGTTGATGGGCTTTGCTCTCGTTTTGTATCCTGTCCGCATACATTGGCAGGCGTATGATTTCGTTTATCTCGTTCAGCAACACTTCTTCTGTTATATTGTCCTTTATACTCCTCATAACCTGTTCTCCAGACAAAATTCGGCATTTTAGCAAAAACCTTTTGAATAAGAATTAGTTGCAAAAAAACAACAATGGCCAGCCCCTCAAGTGGTTTTTCGTAATTTCGAAGATAGGTCAAGTTTTATTCATCATCCACATTAAATGTTGGGTATGATTTTGCATTAAACAATACAGTATGATAGTCAACAAACGCAAAATTACCTTCTTGTAAGTGTTGAATTCGTTAGGGGTACCTTTGTCGATCCTAACCCTCATACACACCCATACGCTTTCTTCAGAATCCCATGAACACTCTATAATCTTCCCTGAATAAGTTGACGGGTCATTCCCATCTGCAAGTTCCGAAAACATGAATAATATTTATATGCACACACAGTTCTGAGAGAAGATCCCGACATGTCAACAGGTCTGAAAATGAGGATTTTGTAGGAATAAATAACGAACTGCCCTCAATGATTTACCACGATCACAAATAAACCCAGTGATCTTTGAAAATTACAACTGTAGGTTTTGTTAAAATTAAAAAATAAAAAATAAAAGTACACGTATTTGTTAACACATTTGGGATGCTTAAATTTTGAGAGAGCGAAATATGCTTTTTGGCCAATCTCAGTTTTTAGTCATGTTGAAATATTCTAGTCTGGAAGCTCGGAAAATACTAAACTAACCAGGGAACACAACTCTCCCATCCATCAATTTTTTTTTTCCTCGCTCAAACAGATGGAGTAATTGATGATCGTCTACCATCTGTTATTTGAAAAGAGGCAAACAAAAAATATTAGACATATTATAGGATACAGAACAAAAACTTGGAAGCCGGTAAGTTTTGTAGAGGAAAATTCTAATAGAAAAACAGAACCTCAAAAAGAAAGTCCACTGAATTCATTTCTGGGTATTTCCATTTCAAAAGGCCTTCATGGGTCCTTGGAACGTAAGCATCGTCCCAACCCTGGAAGACACAAAGCAATTCAAAAGCATTGTTACTCTTTCCAAAAGGATCTCAAACCTATATTATTGCTCCAAACAAGGTGTTAAGATCCAAATTTATCATGAAATCCTCTCAAACAGATCACAAAGTATAACCATTCAGCGAAAGTTTTCAAAAATATGGGGAGTTGGGGACAAATGGTCTCAAATTAAGGGGATCAAGGAAAATTGGAGTTGAGATCCAGTCTAAAGATGGTCTTATCGAGGAAAATGTGCAAAAAAGAACACCCCATAACACATTTTTCCAGGTACATGGCAAGCAAGAGATATTTCAAAATTAAAAAGAAAAAAGCATCAAATAAATGAAACAAGGCTGGTCAAACGACAATATGTGCAAACCTTTTAAGTCATAATAGATTTCACATGGTAAATAATAGTCAAGAAAGGTAAAGAGAAGCAGAGAAAAGAAGAATTTGAAATGCAAAATGAGTAAAAGGAGGAAATAAGTTTTACATCCAAGGCCAAGCGCACCTGAAAAACAAGACCATCTGCATCATGGGAAAGCTTTGGAATAAATCCTTTCAAGAGTTTTGTAACGGTGGAAAGCAGCCAAAAATCTTTCCTTCGTACCTATTGAGTGTTGAGGATTATTATCATAATGCTGTCAGAAAAAGATACATTGATGAATAACAATGTTGAGGTTACCCTGAAAGGTTCCAAATCATATCTGTAATAAGGGTTTTGGCTCTGATATATATGTTGTCTCTCAAGATTCCGAGGTTCAATCACTTCCTTCTCCAGCATTCTCCAGCGTTCGTAAAATGGTCGCTGCATACATTAAAGGTTTGTGTTCAAGTCATCAAGAACCATCATAATCATCCCCGCCCCCCCAAAAAAAATGCGCTCTAATGCCACAAAAATCGGAAAGAAAAAACAATTTAGCTCGCCAAGACATTAATATAAATTTATATTATAGAGCAGCATTTCTTAAGTAAGCGTCTTTACTAACAAATTAAAATCAACCATATCTCATATATAACAGACAAAGTAGTTGAATCAAATTAGTGTACTTTGTAAAATATGTTCCCATTAACGCAGACAAGCTTCCTATGTACAAGTAATTATTTCAAGGCAACAGCAGTTTCGGATACATATTAAGCGGGCATATCATTTTTTTCCAATCAAAGCATATTGACTGATGAAAACTGAGAATGGTGGACCAGGAAGAGCTGGCATGATGGTACAGTATATTTGGGGTTATAAAATATCAGGCCTCGGCATTTTCCTGGGCTTCTTGTAATTGAACAGAACACATTAATAGGTTTAATGTTCATAAAAAGGGCCCTTACCCGTATATACATCAACTCTTACCAAACGGGGAAAACAACATCAAGAATTAAGTTGTTATGCCAACATCAATGGGAGGAATCATCAATCATGGGAGATAGAACTGCAAATGTATTGTTTTATTACCTCAACAATGGGAATTTGATTAATGGCCATCATATCATAGATCAAGTATCTTCTTTCTTGCTTCTGTGAATCAGGCATGGTGTCAATTATCATCTCTCCATCAAGTAAAGTATAATGATGAAACGTTTTCTCAGTCATTCCCTTCTGCACAAACAACTTGGAGATTAAAAAATCATGGCAATGAACATATGATCTGTAAAGCTATTAAAGCTAAAAGAAATATCAGCTAAATCCAAAGATAATGAGTACAAACAAAAATAATGCGAATGAACATTTGATCTGAAATGCTATTAAAAGCTGAAAAAATCCCAGAAAATCCAAATATGGAACAGGAATACATACTTCATTAGCATGCCTGCAAGGAAATCGCATCTGGACCCTCCGGAAAGTAAAATGCCTATCTATCAAGTAACAACCATCCATGGTGATTAGCATCATATATCTCGTTCCATCAGCTTTCCATGTTGCATAGTAGTAACGTTGCCTTAACAATTGTAAGTTGTCTCTGGATGGTAGATTAAGAGGTATTATTAAATGTCAATCTATGAGGAAATGAAAAGGACCGTGGATGCTACTCTCAACTTGAAAGATATGTGGGGGAAAAAAAAGAGATTAATGGGACAAAAAATGAAAAAATCAAGTTGGGTATTTACTCTGACAATCCATCCTTAATTCATAGCGCTGTATTTTGGGAAGGAGGGCCAAAACAAAAGGCAAAAACTGAGTATAAACTATAACTAACAAGCATCATTTCAATATGTTCCCTGGCTACAGCTCTTTGAGAAATCGACAAGTCTTCTATCTATACGAATTCACTCTCACCCTCTATTCCTTCCATCATTTTATTCTAGTTTCTACAGTGAACACATTGAATAATATAAACAGTAGCATGGACACCCAACAATATATCGGTGACCAGACACCACTCCCCATCTTATGACCTTCATATGGCTCCATTGTTATCTAAACTTGGCACATTCCTTATATATAGAACCACAACATAAGCAGAATGAGAAAATCATTTATCACTTGACATTTATGAATCAAAACACAAAAAGTTGTTAATACAAACTGAGAGTAAGTTGACTGAAACCTGTTAAGGGAAACTGGATGTGAACCAGGGAAATTCTGAGGTCCTCTTGCCTGTAGATTAAAAAATTAAATTTATCAGACATGGCCTGCAAACAAGAAATCAGCACAGAAGGATGCAACTGGCCTACAGAGGGTGCATATTTCCATAAATGGCAAATTTCTTGGGCCCTTTGTTCCATTCAACAATATTCTTGAAACTAAAAAAAAAAAAAGTGTCTCGGTTCTTGTTTGTACACCTGTATTACACTCCTTTTGAACTATTGTTGATTTGCTTTCTTTCTTTACCTTTTTTATGCTCACACACATTCACCAAACCAATCTAAAAATCAACAAATACAACTAATTTATAAAGATCGATGGAAGGGTGTTATTTTGGGTTGGATAAATGATTTTCTTTTTCTCAGTTAACTGAAACTCCAACACACTGGCTTCAATCAAGATCAATACTCCTAGAGAACCTACCCCTTGTGGCATAGCCAACTTCATAATCTGATAACAGAAATGTCGCATTGCTAATTCTTGGTCAAAAGGTATTTTGTCTCCCAATATATCATCATTTGTCATGACCAGCTGTGTCTCCTTAATATCCTGAAATGTTCGATGTCCAACGTCAACGGGTATGACACATCAGAGGCGCCATACCATCAAATACTAATGTGCACCTCCAGTAAAGGAATAAAATTTCTTATAGGAAAAGATAAGAATATATTATACATCTACAGGAGCTATAGAATCTCCATCATCGTCGTCATCATCTAGCACCGCGTCACCATTCAAATCGAGATCGGAGGATCTTTTCCACTCTGGAGTTGGGGGACAAACAACCATATCAGGCTTCTTCTCGTGATAGAAATAGTACAAAGCATCAATGTAGTCTGGTTTGTAAATCCCAGGTGGACGTGCATCAGCAAATATTTTGATTGCCTGCAATATAAGCACAGGAACCGGAAGACATGTCAAAATCCATATCGAACAAATTAAGGCAAAGGTTACAAGTACAGCCAGCTGACCTGAGAGACAGATATGGGCAGCGTACGCATGAGATAGTGGACAATCATATATCCAGTACGGTTATGCCCATGTGTGCAATGAACAAGAATATATTTTTTTTGTTGCTTGTGCCGAGTCACAAACTGGAGAACCTTATAATAGATGAAAACAACAAAAAATATTATCTTTTAGAATCTATAAACACCATCAAATAAAGAGTCGTGTGTTGTGAATCTATGAAAATATATACCTCGTTAAAAAATTTATTTACAGCCTCATTCTCTGGCACTGAATCACGCCCCTTGCATGCAATCTAAATACAAGGCAAGTCAGTTAAGAGACAAAGAACCATATTGAAAGAGGTTCAGAAAGTAAATAAATGCGAAGTGAGGCTGACAGCAAATATTTCGCACCTTCACATGCTTCATACCACCGTTCTTCAACTCAAGTGCATTATAGTATCTACTTGAATTGGTAAGATCAATCACCAAACCAAGCTGAAAGATTCAGTAGAAAACTCGAATCATGCAATAGGCACTAGAAAAGTCTCCTAAAATAACACATTGAGGCATCATTGTGAATTGAGCAAATCATTATCGAGATTTCACATTAATAACTAAAAGGTGATAACAATTGAATTCTAAATCACCAGCAGATGACATTATCACATTTTACCCAAAAATAAAGTAAACAATAATGGTGTCAAATGGCTCTGAAATTCTGAACTCACTTTAATCTCAAACCACATCAGAAGGACCAGAATTACAGTTCCAAGGACTTATAATATTCAGAGATATAATTTCACCAGTTCAAACCAATCCTTTACTCAATGACCCCCTTACAACCAAGGATGTACCGACTGCCAAAAAGAAAATAGAACAGAAAATTAATATTATTCGGTTTTATGAAGTTGCCCACCTTTCTTCCTAAAACTCTTTGTTGATGTATCACCTGCCTGAAAGAGTATCTTCTACCAGGAGGAATATCATCATTATATGATTCACCTAAAGGAACTTTCGAGGGTACCAAAAAACCTATTTCTTGTCCGACAGCAGGGCAGTCTAACCAACCTGCCATTTGAGAAACACAGTTGCAAGATGAACAGGGAAATAAAAAGGGAGGACAAAGCTAAACATAATTATTATAGCAGTTCTGAATACCATTTTCCAGATGGGACAAGAATCGTATCAAGAAAGAGAATTGTAAGAGCACTAATCCCCACTTTCACTAACTCACAGATGTCATCTGAAAAGTGAATATATATATATATATGTACAGAATCAGTAGGAAGAGCCTAACCACATTGCTCTTGCAAAACTCTTTTGAATTATCTCTCTGTTGCATCCTAGCACAAATCATACGGAACTCAACAAGCCTTGTACTTTTAACAACTTATATAAGCACGCTACACTCCATATTCTAGCATCTACATATCAGATGATTTTTAAGAATTTAGATGGTCAGTTCATGTTGAATGAACAAACAACTAATTCTTTTCTGCATAAAAGCATAAAAAGTAATAATTCTAGTATGGGAATGTATGCTTTCTCAGTACTTATCCCATTAAGGGTCTGTGAAACACAAATGTAAACAAATTACCTGGCGGAAGTCTACTATTAGGTCTCTGCCTCTTCACTTGATACCCAACATCTCGCTGACTTGACTGATATCCATAGGCTGGTTTCTCATCAGGACGCTGTCTTCGTATCCGTTGCATCCTTTCTTCACGCTCCTGATTCAAAGAAACACATGATAAGATGACCCAATAATTAATGCTTTACAGATGAAACAACATTTATTCAAAATCATGTGCAAACGCATGATTAAGCAGAAGAGCGACGAAGGTGAATTCATAATTGAATTCAACGGGGTTTCAACAATATATTTTCTGTCCAAATTATAACAATGAATAGTCACAGTAATCACAAAGCAGCTGCTAGCTGCCAAGTAGACTAGCAGAGAGACATTACAACAATCATGAACCAACACTATAAAAGGAGAATAGTGGGGATGCAAGATTCACTTGGGACGCAACTTAGATTTTGTTATGTCGGCAAAAAGAACTACAAGACTCAAAGGCATCCAACAATTCGAAACATTGATGGCCTCACTTGACTCTGAAATAACAAATGCGAAGGCAAGGAGTCGAAACAAACGCAGCATACTGAACAAAAGATTCTTGACATTTCAAGACGCAAGCTAATAACCAAGTAAGAGCATTTCATTCTCTAAAGTAATTACATTTCAACAGCTCAAAATTACATGTTCCACAAAAAGTATTAAGTATGATTGTTGTCATCAGATGGCAGGGCTTTGCAACAAAGAGCTGCATGGAAAAATACTATTAGTAACTCCAACAAAGCCAGCACAAACGTTGTATTATATTAAAGAAACGTCAAATATTCAACACAAACAGAGACAGTGTTTACCCGGCGTGAAATCTGAACTGCACTCTCGCCCCCATCCACATGCTCGTTGTAGTCTGCATGTTCATATCGTACATTTTCCTCTTCTGAATGTGGCTCAGGAAACACATCGTCCTCTTCCGGTTCAGGGGATGCATTCAAGTCCATCCTGGCAATCATTCAAGCCAATAAGAAATATACCAGAGCAGAATATTTACCTTGTTTTTTAAATTAAATCATAAAACAGAATATGATAGGCAATAAGATAAATAAATAAATACTGACAAAATTACAATTGCCCCTCAACCAGAGCAGAAAGCACAGTCCTGTCTTTGGTAGCCAAAATACAAGCTACTAAGTTCCATTAACACCAAGATAGAAATTACTCAATGTTCGCAGATTATTCATTTAGCCAGATCAAATCCTCCAAAACAATAACTTTTTAACCAATTCTCTTGCACAAATCGTTCGTTCAATAACCAATAACTCAAATTACAGAAAGTCATCAGGAATACTCCATCAAAAGCTCCCGTCTTTACTTTTTTAGCCAAAAAAGAAAATGATGCTAAGAAGAAGAAGAAGAAGAAATGACCCCATGAGAGCCTAATCATTTGAAGATATTTCGCAGAATCAAGCTCAATAAATCCGTCCACTAAAAGAACAATGTAAACTGAAATCTCAGGCGGCAAATCCTCACCGGAAGACTTCGGGCCACCGCAAGCCCAGCTCAGAGAGAACAAATTACAGAAAACCGCTTCCTTCAATTCCCGGCACGACTAAAACCCTAATAATGACAAATCAAATCGAGCTCCAGCTTCACAAAAACCCTAGAGAGAGAAACATGCGCCCGTGCTTGCGGGGAGAGAGAGAAATCGTTGCAATTCAATCCATGATATGAATATCGGAAAATTTTACAGAGCTATATACAGATGAAGCCATGCCTGTACGTCTGTGTATATATATAGGTTAAATTCGCTGTGTCAGTGTGTGGTGTTCTTGTGTAATTAATAACGTGAGATATGTAATAAGGGAAGAGTTGAGGGGTGAATGTGTAAATAAACTGAATTAGGAAGGAAGGGAAAAGGGACAAATTTTCACTCCAAGATTTTCAAATGTCCTCATTATTAATACTAATTAAATTTTTTTCTTGTCATATATGTTTGTAATCTTCATTAGATTTTACTTTTTTTAAGAAAAACAAAATAGATCATAATAGGAAATGGATTTAAGAGATATTTCAGCTAGAATGGTGAATAAAATATTTTTGGCAGATTTAGCTTAAATGGATAATAGATTTAAGAGGAACTAGTACAGAGCTCGTGCGATACACGGGGTGCACAATTTTAAGGCTATTTATCCAGACTTATAATTATATACATGAATACAGAAAAATATACTGGATGTATATAGTACGTGACCCGTGCGAGGCACGGGATATATTTATTTGAGGAATACTATATTATAAGATGCAATATTCAATAAAAGTTTTATAATATGCAGGAAAATTATACAATAAGATAGTATTCGACAAACAAACAATCATATATTATTAAAGACCACCTTGTACACAACATTATGAGTTTGATTTTCCATACAATAATAATAAGATTTTTTGTAAAAAGATAAGAAGGAATTTTCAATCTACACAAACTTTAAACATTAGATGTGTTTACGTAAATCAATGACTATATAGACAGCTAAACTCTTCAATTTAGGCTTGTCATCTACTTTATTTATGGGTGACGTAAAATAAGAATTTAATTTTGACCAATTAAATCTTTATTCATAGGGTTGACATATAAAACTGATTTGATGGGATTTTCTTAACTAAACCGATTCTATGGGATAAAACAAATCTATACTTACCTTTGACTTTTCCAGCAAAAGTAAAAAAATCGGTTCTGAATTTTATCTCATAACAAATCTTTAATGTCAAGCCTATAAATACCAAAACAAATCTGTAATTAGTATCATTCTATTTCCAGCAAGCATTAATTACCTTTGACTTTTCTGTCTACTATTTCTAGTAAATAGGATGACTTTTTATATAAGTATAGATTTCATATAATGCAAAGACTAATATCATAAAAAAGAATCCTAAAAACTGAAACAATATATTTGCATAATTTAAGGCCATTAAGAAATCGATCTCTAAACTAGATTTGATTTTCAGAATATGTTTTTTCATTTCGAATTCCATACAAAATGGAATTCTTTCCAACCAATAGATGTCATAGCAAATATTAACTCTTAACTATTAGACTATTAGTACATACCGAGCAAATTGTGTACTGATTTTAGAAAGTTAAAATGATTCATGTTAGGTAATTTTACATTTTATGCATGTTGAACGGTGGATTTTAAAAATTGTTTTATAGAATGTAAAAGTGTATTATATTATTTTTATGAGATGTTGAATTTGAAAATTAATAGAATCCTTCTTCATAGGAATTTTAAATGTAACAATATTCTTTGGTATACACTACTAATAAAATCTATATTTAAAGTTTATATTTTTTATTTTACCAGAAAGAATTCCTTAATTTAAGGAATCATATATCTTCAATCAGTCCACATCTATATACATTTTTCACAATTTTAAATCTTGAATTTGATGAGAATTCGTATCTATGAGTGCAAAATATGGTTTAACAAATTAAATTTTTATTATTATTCCAGCCATACTTCTTTATACGATTTTTTGTGAAAATACAAAAGTAAATTCTTAATTTTAAATCAGCCGTACATTAAAGAGTACAAATTTGTTGAAATTACAAAAATAGTTTTTTACTTTTAAACAGACGTAAATTTAAATCAATTATAAAAAAGTAATATTTGTTTACCATTTAAATATTAAATCAGCCGTAATTAATGTTTTTTGTTTTAGTTGCCACGATTTTCTCCAAACTAAATTAATAACTGCCATGATTTAAGGGCAACATTTAATGCTGCTCTATTTTTAGGAGACATTAAATGTATTTGGCGGGAAAAACTTGCTAAAAGTGTTAAATGGGTAATCTTTTAATATAATGATAGATGATTTTTAATTATGAATGATAACACCTATTATATTTTAATAAAAGTTATATTTAAATATTAATTATGAAAGCATGTCATATAGTATCTTTGATAGATTTAACTTATACTAGAAAATGAATTTAAGAAAATTGAATTTTCAGGTATGAATGGTACCACCAATTATATTTCTATAAACTTTATATTTAAAGTTTAATTATGAAAGCATACCCTTGGGATGTGGAATCTATATATATATATATATATATAATAAGAATTAACATTTTTCAAAAATAGTAAGCAAAAAAATAGAGAATATTAATTACATTCCATTTTTGGTATGTTTTTTTAATTTTTCTAAATAAAAATCAAGTAGCATTTAATGCTAGCATAAATCATGGGATTTGTTATATAGACGCATATTTAAATTTCAAACTTCAAACAAAACATGCCTAAATGTATTTTAAATTTTTTTGGGAAAAAATTTTAATAAACACGTTAAATATTTCATACAATACATATATTTATATATATTATCTTAACATATAGGTTAATTAGTTTCATATCTAAACAATATATATTTAAACAATATATAAACAAATATAATAATTTGTTGTACAATACAGACAAATATATAAACAATATATTTATATATAAATATAACAAACAAATATAATAAACAATACAAACAAATATACAAACAATATATAAACAAATATAATAACTCGTCACGTGTATATTTCGTACAATACATATATTTATATATATTATCTTAACATATAAATTAATTAGTTTCATATCTAAACAATATATATTTTAGGAACTTAAAGATTCATAACATTACTGACGTCATGTATATTTATAATATATTGTCACATACATTTTACTACAATTGGTAACTTTTTTAAAATTATTTGAATAACTGGATGTTGATTTGTAATTTAAATTTCAAATCCATTCAAACATTTAAAGAAAAATATCATAAACAGATTTTTTTGATACATTTCATTTTATCTCAACTTACATATAATCACATTCCATATTTATCATTATATAACAAATATTATTAAATTTGCTTATATCTTTTTAAATTAAATACATCAATAAATAATATTAATATACATTACATATTTATCATTATATAACAAATATATTACTTCTACAAGTGTTATAAATAATAATGACATTATATGATAATAGATTTTTTGATAAAATTAAAATTGAGTATTATGATTAACCAAAATATGTAAAATTATTATTATTTTGTAAATATATATGTTAAAATATAAACGGGTCAACATGCTAATATATTGTGAAAATAAAATTTTTAAAATAAGTTCTAAAGTACGAAAACCCCGTGCATCGCACGGGATTCTTACTAGTATCTTTGGTAGATAGTTGAATAATGGTTTGGTAAGTTAGTTTTGATAAGTTAATTGATAGCATTAAGTTAAATGGATAATGGATTTAAGAGGGATGGATTTTCAAGAATGATATCACCTATTACAATTCTATAAACGTTATATTTGAAGCTTAATTATGAAAGCATGTCATGTGATATCTTTGATATATTTAACTTATACTGGAGAATAAATTTAAAAGAGCTGGATTTTTATATGAAATCATGCCCCCTTGGAGATATAGAATATCTTTGGCAGATAGTTGAAATATTAGTTTGGTATGTTAGAGTGTCTCCAATGATGAAATGTAGTTGTACTAAATACACTTTATATTAACAAATTTAGCAATGTCTCCATTTTTAATCCTTGTGATGAGGTAGACATAAGTCACTGGATAATGAATTTCATAGAGGTGGATTTTCAAGAATGATATCACCTATTGTATTTCTATAAATGTTATATTCCAAGCTTAATTATGAAAGCACTAGTACAATACATGTATTACACGAGTGTTGAATTGGAAAGCTTTTGTAAAAAATACTAAATTTTTTATTTTTTTAAAAACTAAAATAATTTTATTTATATAAAACATTACTTTGGGTTTTAATTAAATTGTCAAATTATATTTTTATAATCATAATAATTAAACACCCGTACATTAAATGAAAATGTCAACCCGTGTTGAATTTTTTTACTTATATCATATAAAAATATCGATATTATTTACTATTACATAAGTACAAAAATATATATATCTTAAATAAATAGAAATAATATGGTGATATGTATATGCATAAGTGTAGAATATGTTTATTTAATAATAAGCAAAATAGATTAATTTTTTACTTAATTAGATGCCTAATACATCAAGTGTCGTATCAGTCGTGCTTCACAATTTTTTAACTTTATATGTAATTTTAGAATTTAGATAAATAATTATTATTTTTTATTAGATTGACAACATACCAATTAGATTTGAAATAAATATCATTATTAAAAGAATACATATCAATTTCTATTACTGTTTTGTTATATATATATATATATATATAAATAGTAAAATACAAACAGACTTCATAATATCAATTCAAATGCAACACACTAATTAAAAATTTTTTTCTTGACAATATTAACCCTATTTAATGGATGTTATGGGAAACGATTAATATGGAATATGAAGAGACACTGTATATTATATGGAGGGTTAAAAATGAAAAAATATGAACAAAATATCTACAATGACATTTATTTTATCAATGATCAATTAAACCAAAGTGACAAATAATAAAAATAGAAGGGAGTATATATTATTATATATTTTAGTACGACACATGTTAATTGTGCGACTTATATATGTTATATTATAATAATTTTCCTACCTTATAACATATAACTACATTAAACATAAATATATTAATTGATAAATAATTTTATTTTATAATTAATATTAATAAATAATTTTATTAATATTATAAAGATAAATATAATTTATTTATTTTATATATACAATATGGATGTCAAATCGAAGTTCATGAAAAGATGATTAATTTGATATATTATATATGTAAAACCGATAAGAAATACAAAAGTTATCAATTTTTAAAATATATTTACAATTCAATGGTTATAAGGAAATGATATTAAAATACAATTAATACAAATATTAATTTATATCCAACCCTAACTCCAAAGCATGATTTTTTGCCAAATAAGATTCTGAAGCATGAAAGTTTGCCACGTAGGCTCAACGCATTCTGAAATTATATATAGAGGGGATGTCATACAATATATTTGATACGTTTAACTTATACATTAGATAATGAATTTAATAGATTTGGATTTTTAGGTATGAATAATATCACCTATAACATTTCTATAAATGTTATATTTAAAGATTAATTGTGAAAGCATGCCCTCTTGGGGATATAGAATATCTTTGGTAGATTTTGTTAGTTAATTGATAGTTGATAAGTTANTCTTTTTTTTTGCAAATTTGATAGTTGATAAGTTAACTTTGTGGCTAATGATTGAAAAACCAACTAATATAATCAGAGTTTTCTGTTGATAAATTAATTGATAGCTTATAAGTTAATTTCAAATTGATAGCCCATAATTGAAAATTCAATTGATATAATAAAAATATTTTGATAAAATTAGCTAATAATCTCAATGATTTGTTGTTTTCTGAAACACTACTTGGATAAAAAAATTAAGATAAACTCTAAAAGAATTCATTATTCCAAATGGGACTTAATTGAAAACATGAAATTTATAACCTAATTAAATAACTTATAAACTAGTTCATGATGCTAAACAAAACTACTTTAAAATCTATATAACTTTTTGTAGTGGTTGCTTGTGATTGTGAAACACCATTGTACTACTAATAACTAATAAATGATAGCCATATAAACTTAGTCAAAGTATTAATATCACATTGACTGAGCTCACAAATGTAATTTTTCTCATTTGGGTCTCTGAATAAGTGTATTTAATTAGAATTTTTAAAGACTTTTTAAGACTTTAAAAATCCTGGTGTATTCAATTTAGATTTGTTAAGACTTTTTAAAACTTTTAAAAATCCTGGGGTATTCAATTGAGATTTTCAAAAGTCTTACAAAATCCTGAGGTATTTTTAATTTTTTTGACACTAGGATTTATTAAGACTTTTTAAGATTTAGTGGGATTTCTAAACAAAAAACCTTATATGAAATCCCACTTCAAATCTTACCTCCGAACTTGAGATTTCATAGAATTCTTTCAAAATCTGAAAATCCTAGAAAGTCTCAAATCTCGAAAAGTCTTAAAAGATCACTTAAATTCCGAATTGAATACACCCCCTTAGCAAAAGCAGCCAATACCTAAAACATTATGATAACCACTAAAAAGCAACACCAGCCAGTTTCCTCCTTTATTCCCTCATTTATCAAGATGATGTTCAAAACCAAATCTGGAAATATATCTCTCCACAAATGACTCTAATAAATTCAAGAAAAAGTGAATCTTGAAAAAAAAAAGCATAGAAAATGAAATAAAGGACAAATGTGAATCTGACCTTTTATAGTACCTAGCTCAAGACTCCATTATGCATAAACAGAGCATGTGAGTAAACAGTTGCTCTTGTGGGAGTCTATGGAGCTTCGTACGAGACTCTAAAGAACTCGAAAAAATCAAAAGCCAAAATCATTGAGAAGCACGCAATGGAAAAGGCTGCATCTTTTTCGTTCAAGCAATGAATCGAAACGGGGATTTGGCCTAAAATGTTCTGTTCAATCACACAAAAAGACTCTCAAGAGTTTCCCCGGAGTACAAACAAACCCACATTAAATATCAAAATCACAAAACAAGCACGAGTCTGAGTCATTCATACAGTTTTTGTATCTTCATAATAAGCCACTAATAATAAGAAAGACCAAATAACTGAGAACTAAAGCTGTCATAATTTAGAGGGGACAAAAAAAAAAGTGTGTAGCAAATTGCAGGTCACAAACCGCTGGCTGAGAAAAGGTAAATTCACGCTGATTTAAGTAAGTCTCGAATGCCAAGTTCATGTTCTTCTTGAACCTCAAATGACAGTGTAGTTTCAACAGATTCAGCCACGGCCAAAATTTACCAGCTTTCCTACAAAATTTCATCGTGAAAAATGGTTTTGTAACAAAATCGTAACGGGTGAGTGTGTTTGGAGAAGGTATGCTTATATAACACATGATTTATCGTGGTCTAAGCAATAGAGCTTTAAACTGAACTTTCGAATAGAAACAAATATAAAATGATACGGGTGTTTGTGGAGAGAAGCAGCTTCTGCAAATTATCATGGAAATATGAGATTTCATTTATGATAAAAAAATAAAAAAATAAAAAAATAAAATCATATATGTTAAAATGAAGCAATTTTTTTTCAAGTTAAAAGCTCTTTTTCAAGTTACGATTTTTCAACTTTTGAATAGAAACAAATATAAAATGGTACGGGTATTTGAGAAGAGAAGTGGTTTCTGCCAATTATCATGGAAATGTGAGTTTTCATTTATGATAAAAACAAAAAAAATCATATATGTTAAAACGAAGCGATTTTTTTTTTGTTTTTCAAGCTAAAAGCTCCAAAAACTTCGTTAAGAGTTCGCAAATACACTCTACAGCAAAGGACAATAAAGATTCCATAAACAATCACAACAGAAAGATAACACAGACTTACTCATCAGACAAAGCTGCGGTTATTCTCCACATCGAGCGCCACTTTCGAGTCTTCTTCGCCCACACTTCCATCATTTGACTCAACCGGTTTTTTGCTATCTCCCAATATCTCTTTCGCCAGCTTTTCATGCTTCTCCTCCAACTCAGGAGAACTTATAGCAGCCTCACTAATCTCTCGTTTGATTTCCTCCATCAAAGCCTGAATCTTGCTTTTCGCTTTCTCATCAGGTGTATTTCCAGCTTTCGCTACCATTTCCTTCAAAACATCGATTTTCTCCTTCAAACCCGACGAATTCGCAACCTTCCCGATTAATGTTTTTACTTCTTTACCATATGAACCGATTTTCTGCAATGAATTACGATTCAAAGGGACCATTTCCAGACCTGCAGACTTAAGGCAATTCTTGAATTCCGAATCGATCTCTTTAAGTAACTGCAGAGCTTTTTCATTTAGCTCTGGATCAAAATCGACATCCGATTTCTTTAATTCGGCCTTCAGCGTCATGAACTTGTGCTTCAAATCGGGCCGTTTGATGACTTCTTCGAATATCTTCTCCATTTTGAGTTTTACCTCGTTTTTCTTGTTCGAGGAGCTCTTTTGCGGTGGTGGGTTCGAGGTTTTGGACAGCTCTTTCAGCTTCTGAAGCTTGGATATAAGGCTCGGGAAATTCGGGGCCGTGGGGAGATTCTTCTTGAATTCTTTCTTGATTTTCTCGAATTTTTCCTTCGCGGCCTTCTCATCAACCGAGTTCCTTCTTTTCTTGATTTCATCTCTCACCTTCAAGATTTTATCATGCATGCCGAGAGCCTTTGAGGCCGCCTCATATTCAGACTCGATTTCGTTTTTCAAAATTTCGGCCATCTTGTTTAATTCTGCCATCGGGTTTTCCTTTACGGGTACGTCTGTTTTCTTCATGTTGCGTGTCTTCACGGGGTCGACTGGGTGATCATAGTTTCTACCGATCTTCCGGAACTTTGCGGCCCTGTGTTTTAGTAGGGTTTTCGTATCCATTTTCGAAAGTTCCTGCAGATTACACCAGATATCATTCGAGGTTCTTTGATGAATATATACATAATAAGATGGAAAATTTGATTAGGGATTAATAAAGGCACATCACTTACTTCCATTTCCTCGAGAATTGCTTTTTTGATCTGCTGCGAAGTCCACTCTGGATCCTTATGTGCACCGCCGAGAGGTTCCTACAAAGATCCAATTTTCTTTTTTTTCTTTAACAATGCATTATGAAGAAGAGTGTATCAAGAAGTTAAGAGTCTTGTATTCAAATAAGCTTGAAATTCAGCTACAGTGTTAAACCTGGAACAAGAAACTCATAGAAAATTCAATTAACTTAAAATTGAACAATGCATACTTAAATACCATGTATTTTTATGTACCTATCCTCAATATTAAACAGAATTAACCATTTATCGTGTTTCTTAGCATAAAATGAATTTACAACTACAGGGACATGAGAAATAATAATTAATAAATGTGCAAAGAAAATAAAAAAGGAGTAAAGGAAGAAGGTGAATAAATTTTACAGGAATGATGCCATCACAAACTTGAATCTTTCTCAGCTCTGGAGCTGTAATTTTTAGCAACTTAGCAGCCTGAAAAGGGAAAAACAGCAGATAAAGTTACCAAAGTTTCGTATGATTATTTAAAACATGCAAGAAAAGGTAAAAAAATCTTTAGCCAGCCAACCTCTGGCGCCTTTTTTGCATCCTTCCACAAGATAGCAGCACATGCTTCAGGGCTGTCAAATGGAAATGGAAAGTGCCGATAAATATCAGAATATTTGTAGGAAACAAAAACAGGATGATGGAAACTAGATTATAATCGACCACAAAATCTTAATGCGAAATGAAGTAAGTATTCTTGGATTGGATTTGATTTATTGGATAAAAGGCGACTTAAGATGGGAAAAAAGTTTGATTTGGTGGAAATTTGGATTTGATTTTGATGGATATGAGTAAAGATGTAAGTATTCAAGATGTAAAAGTAGTAATATAATGATTGTAAGTGATTGGTAGTTACAAAATGAGTGGATGAATAGTGAATTCTGTTGGAAATCGTGTAGTAATGATTGAATGATATTATTTAATAATTATATTGATATTATTAAGAAGAGTTAAGTTGAATTAGATTTATGTTGGATTTTGAGTTAAAAATTTGTATCCAGTTCCGTCCAAAAACATTATCCGGTGAGTGAAAACCAATATATATATATATGATGTGGTTCAAATGAAAACCAAGTCCTAGCGTGAGAACCGCTATTTTTAATTGTATGTAGTGCTATGATTGATTGTGTTTTAGTGCTATTTTTAACTAGGATGTACTTTGATTGAAAGTAGCAATAACATTTTTTTTATTAGCATTTGTGAAAATGATAGCACCATGCAATATTAAAAATAGCATCATACACAATTAAAAATAGCATCAAATATGGTTCTCACAGTTCTTGGTGACCAGACCAAGTTTTTATTTGAACCAACCCCTACATATATATATATCCAAGCATGTTAAGCTGTATTATAGCAGTTGCATTATGAATAAAGCAAAAAGCACCTGGCAACAAAGAAAACTGCATTTTCAAGCATCAACAGCTTGTTAGCACATGCAATAGCTAGAGCTCCACCCGAGCCTCCTTCGCCCATAACAATTGAGATAATCGGTACTTTCAGACCAAACATAGTCCTCAAATTCTGAGCTATAGCTTCCCCCTTAAAAAGTAGAATTTTTTTTTTTTTAAAAAAAAAGTTAGCATGTTCATATTTAAATCACTAAGAGAAATTTTGCGTTTTTACGGGAATATCATACTTGGCCTAATGCCTCAGATTTGATATCAGCATACGCCCCAGGGGTATCAACGAAAGAGACAATGGGAAAGCCGTGATGATCTGCATAATGCATCATTCGCAGTGCTTTCCTATAACTGTCGAAAATAATTGTTATTAAAATCACAACATATTAATTATTTTATTCTAAATATATTATTTTAGTATAAACTCAAAATCTCACTAACAACTAACCATACCACTTTTTTTCAAAATTAACCATACCAATCCAAGAAATCCAAACAAAATCAAAATATATTACAGGCTTAAAAATCTCTTCTTTAAATTCATACCCATGCGGAGTAGGCATCCCAAAGTTCCGCTTGATATTCTCCTTTGTGTCCCTCCCCTTTTGGTGGCCTATGAACATGTAGCCTTTGCCATTTATTGAACCGATACCAGTGACAATAGCAGGATCATCATATCCAGCTCGATCGCCATGGAGCTCCACAAACTAACCATATATAAAATGAAAAAAACGATTATTTCACAAGAACTAATGAATCCTAAATAAACGATTTTGCTAAAAGTTTGGACTGTAGAGAAATTATCAGACACTCTCAGTAATGTTGTAAATATGGTCAAGCATTGTTGGTCTATGGGGATGTCGTGAAATGTTCACACGTTGTATAGGGGTCAATTGCGTGTATATGCTTCTCCGAGTCTGCAATCAAATGGAAAGTGCAAATATATCAGAATATTAGTAAGAAACGAAAACAGGAATGATGGAAACTAGATTCTAATCGACCACAAAATCTTAATGTGAAATGAAGTAAGTTTTCTTGGATTGGATAGGATTTATTGGATAAAAGCGAGTTAAGATGGACAAAAAGTTTGATTTGGTGGAAATTTATATTTGATTTCGAGTTTCTGAATGGATATGAGCAAAGATGTAATTATTCGAGATGTAAAAGCAGTAAAATAATTATTGCAAATGATTGGTAGCTACACATATGAGTGGATGAAAAAAGTGGTTTCTGTTGAAAATCGGTGTAGTAATGATTGGTTGAAATTATTTAATTTATAATGATATTGTTAAGGAGAGTTAAGAAGTTACAAATTTGTATCCAATCATAGTTCCGTCCAAAAAAATTATCCGAAAAATGGCATTCAGCCATTAGTTGGGAATAATATGAGAGCTCTAAGTTGCATACGGCTAGATGACATTTCTTTTCCTAATGAAAAAAAAAAAAAGATTCCATGTTACAGAAAAACATAATGGTACGAGAGCAAAAAGGAGAAAGTGAAACCTCTTCAATACTTTTCTCCTGCGCTTTAATTTGCTCAGTGAGATCCAGCCCGGTNACATCATAGAAATTCAATAAAAATTTTACAGCTTCAAGTTGTTTCTGCATATTAATGAGAGGCCTCTCAAAATCAAGAATAATCGGCTTAGGCTTTTCTGTCAAAGGCTTGAAAGGTGAGAGATGCCTAAGGAATCCACCCTTCAAATCAGTGGGGTTCAGGTCAGGATCGATTGGCCATGGATTCTTGTGCTTTTTCTTTTTCCCGAGCTTTGCTGTTACGGAGAAGTCTCTCCTCACTACGCCTAATTGTGCTTTTCCAAGCATTTTTAGAGGTACACCACAGAGACCATTACTTGTGCTCCTAAGAAAATCTGAAGCAGGGAGCTTTGAAGCTAAATTCCCAGAAAATGATACTGGAGATTGGGTCATGGAAGCCATTTTTTGTTTTAATCTGCAAAATCCCAATCATACATAAGCTGAATCACTTTGCTGGTAGAGAAAAAAATAGGACCACAATGAGAAATCACCAAAATCATAAAAGGCAGCAAAGACAAAAGAACCATTTAATACAAACGAGAAATCACCAAGATCATGAGTCACTGATGAATCAAATATAATTCTGTAAAGATAAGATTCAGCAAAATATCCATAGCTACGAACAAAGAACGGTTTTGTATGGAAAGTTCAGCTTAACCGATCCCATATGTATATGTAATATGTCATTTAATGACAAAAACAAATTAACGTAAAAGGCATTCAGATTCTCAATTCAGAAAACCCCACTACAAAAGAACACTACAGTAATTGAATATAGTCCACCGAACACTAGACAATTTGATAAGATAAACTAGAAGAGCCAAGGATTAAACAATGCATGCAATATATTGAGCTCCAACAAGGTAAGAGCACATGGATCAGTTGAAAAAGACTCTATCTTTAGGCACCCAAACATTTAAAAGTCACAGCCAAACAGCTAACCAACGGCCAAAACAAACAAATTCATTCACCGGACATAACAACAACAATAACAGAGCTCCCGGGTGAAAAAATCAACCGAATTGCGCCAATCAATCGAATCATACGAACCGAAATATCACATTCCTCAATCCCAAATCCAAATCAACAGCACAAACTAAAAACCCGCGCGCATCCAGCATTCACATAATCCGAACGAAAAGACAAACAAACAAAATCGACAACAAAAAACCGACCTACAAAATCGAATGCGGCAAGAAATCGAGAACCCACCTCAAGAAAACCGATACGGAAAAGGGATCTGAGGAGGCCGTCGGAGGAGCGGCTGTAAATCCACCTGAGCTCCACGAAAATTGGAACAGAGAAAGAATGAAGGGTTACAGAGAGAAAGGGGGCATTGGGGAGATCGTCATGCTGGAGCTAAGCTTGAGTTCTTGTTAACACCCCACAAATGGAAAAGGGCAGATGTTATATATTATACAGCCTGTATGTATGTATCTGTTTTTCGATGGTTTCTATGCGAGCCTGAAGTGTGTAGAGAGAGGGAGAAGTGGAGAGAGAATAGAAGAGAAAACCTACCAGTGAGCTTTGGAGCAGCGTTTTTCGGTTTTGCCGTTAAAATAAAAACCCAACGCACGTTTTTCTCATCAGAAAAAGCGCTTTTCTTGAATCTGATCCGCATTTTTTCAATTTTTTTTTTTAAATGTAGATATAAATAGTATTAGTTCGAGTCTTTAAATAAAATAATGTTGAGATCAACTTGTTAAATAAAATTAAAGAGTTTGACTCGTGCCTCTAACGAGTCAAGCTTAATAGTTCATAAAATTATGTAAAAAAAATAATGTTTCTCAAATTTAACGAGCTATTATGAGCTGAGTTGTTGATTAAGAGAAACGAGATAAGCTAAGTACATAAACGACTCAATTCATTTAACAAATCCAAGAATATAAATATGGTTACAAACTTATAATGGCTTATTAGTATTACAATGACATTTTAATTAACAAACAAGCAAATAAATGCATAATTATTACATAATATATCTGAATCTCAATCCTTCAGTCTTTTCTAAAGTGAAATATAGCAGAGTATAAATTAAAAAAACATATTACTCACAAGATCAATTGAGCTTAAGAAATTTATTTTCCTACCAAATCAGATACCAAAAGCTTTTTTATGCATGTTTTTCAACAAAATACCTTTTTAAAACACGAACACAATCAGCTTATAGGTCTTTATAGGATTTGCTAATCGTGTTTTGGAGTTCGGACAATCAACTCAAGTATGGCTATGTACCATACAAGTGCCTACTTTTTGCTCCAATATTAATCTAAGTACGTTATTTCCACTTAATTATAAAAATATATATATATATAATTATGCCACTTATTTGGCTATTAGCGCCTAATACACGTCAAATAGTTGACTATATTAGTGGATAATTAATAGCATATTGTATTTATTGATTTGACCAGTATATTGCATTGCTTGTTTGTAAATGTTTATTCATAAATATCATATTGTCTAGCTATTTTTAAATTTTTACGTTGATATGTTATTTATCAATTCTCTCTTCTCAAAACGACTCCGATATTGAGTTTTAATTAGCATTTTGGACTAATAAAAGTGATCAAATAAGTTATTTATCAAACAAGTTAATTAACTTATTTGACGGATCAAACATCTAAATGAGGTTCTAACTCATTAATTTTATACAATCCCTAACATCCAAAGATGACCTATATTGAAATTATTTTTTTCATGTTCCAACGAGATTTATAAAACAAGTCGAGCCCGACTTGGTAACTAAATGACAACATAGGTCGGATGACTCGGATCGAGTTCTAAATGTTAATGAGTTCATCCGAATTGATTCGAGTTTACGAACGTCCGTTTCATTTAACGGTTGCAAGCACAAACTCATAGCAGGCAGGACTTTCAATTAACCAATGTTGGGGGGCCTTTTAGTTAAGTTACAAAATAATACTCTTTTCTATCCAGTTCGCCCCCAAAATCACTGCGACCTTTCGTCGAACACCCAACGGTCGGCACAACTCCATGGCCGGCGGCAGCCCCTCTAACGGTAAGCCTTCGAAGCACGTTTGTCCTAATTTTATAACACCGACACCTTTTTTTTTCCGGTGGTAATGCGTCGTGCTATTTATCAAAACAGAAGATATTCTCCAGCAACTCCGGCAAGGCATCGCGAGGTTCGAGCTCACGTCAGCGCCGGTTGCTCCGATTTTCGGCAACCTCCCTCGAACCCCGGCACATATTCTCCCCCCAGCGAGCACAATGGCGCGATTTTTCGCTTGGATTGGACAGCCCGCGTGAGTGATTCTGTACTCGAGAAGTTACAAAGTGAAAGGGATTTTTTGTGAGGTGAGAGATAAATTTGACGTGATTTTGAATTGCTTTGCCGCCATTTCAGAGACATGGGCTCGCCTGCAATGGAGAAAGTGGAGCGATATTCTGTTCGGAAGGTGACTGGCGACGGCCGTTGCCTGTTTCGTGCCCTGGTATGTTGCAAAAAAATGGGAACTTTGAAGGTTTTAGTTCATCTTGAATATGCTGTTTTTTTCTGAACACTAAATTGTTCCTAGTTACCCATATTGCCATATTGGAGCTTTCAATTTTGAAGCAGCTGCATTTGATTTCTGTTTTCTAGAATCACAAACTCAATTGGTAAAAAACCCTTTTAAAATTTTATTCAATCATGGGTTGTGTGAAAGTTACAGTATTTTTCTTGGTGGCCTTTTGCTTTGAATCAGGTGAAAGGAATGGCTCTCAACAAGGGCATGGTGCTAGGGCCGAGGGAAGAGAGGGACAGTGCAGGTTTTTTCAAATTTGGTCATTTTGTTTATTTATGGTTTGCTTAAAAAGTTTTGAGCTTTATGTGATGTCTTTGTATGATCTCTCTATATACGCCTTTCAGAAACGATCAGTATATGAGATGGGTACTTAATGATAATGAATTAATTGGCAGATGAACTACGGATGGCTGTAAAAGAAGTTATTTGTGAGAATGGAAACGAGCGTCTTCAATACCAAGAGGCGTTGGTTGCAATTACTGTGGACGAGCCTCTGAGACGGTAAGGCGTTTGAGCTGTTTTGTGCGGGAATTTATTAAAAAAAAAATGTCACTTTATTCCCTTTCTCTTTGCAAAAATATGCCACCTTTAGTCATAATATCTGTCTTCATCGGTTGTTGCTTTGGTTGTAAAGACAAAAATGGCATTTTTTGGAAACTTAGAAAAAAGGTGACATTTCTACAAACTTTCTTTGTTTTACTGATAAGAATAATCTGAAAAAAAAAAAGAATAATTTGAAAACTTCTAACTTAATAGTGTCTTTGCAGCTACTGCCAACGCATTGGTAGGCCGGATTTTTGGGGCGGTGAGGCTGAGCTTCTGGTTAGTTGGCTATGCATTTTTTGATACTGTGAATTCGGCTGTGGTTTACCAAAATTGTTGACATTTTGTTTTTTATACAAGCGCAAAATTTTTGGCAATTAAGCGAGAATTTATTGTTGGTGTTGTTGGGGATTAATGCAGCCTGCTTTACCTTCAGTCATTTTCATTGTTGAGAAGACCTTTGTTTTATTAGCTACGTGATCTTGCTCGCAATTTGAATAGGTGGATAAGATAATAACGACAACTACATAATTATTATGCTTCAGTAGTATTGAAATTGGATCGACTTTGCTTTTATCATTCTTTTATTCTGTTGCTGTTGCTAATTACTGATGAATTCTAATATTAGGTCCTCTCAAAGTTGTGCCGTCAGCCAATAGTTGTATACATTCCAGTACAAGAGGTGGCTTTTTTCTTACACTCAATAACATCTTTTTTCCGACTGCATGATATTTATGTAATAGCAAAAGCACAATTTCAATTTCGATCAAACTAAGAAAAAGCTGTCATCTGCACACAATTCTTAAAATCTGGTTTCTTTTTTCATTTCTTTTTTCAAATTAGGCGTGACTTAGAACAACGTTTTATCTTGTGATTTTTATCGACTATTCGCTTTTCTTGAACTTTGCAGCATGGTGGATTGGGGTCCGGTTTCATACCTATTCAAGAATATGGGTCTGAATTTCGTAAAGCTTCTAAGAATGAAAAGCCTCGAAGTGCCGTGCGATTACTCTACACTGGAAGAAACCATTACGACTTACTCGTCTGACGCCACATTTGTCTGATGATGATTAACATAATATTCTTAGGTTTTAGTTTTTTGTTTCGTTTGGTTAACTTTTCGGCATGTTCTTATTCCAAGTTATTTTAGGTTCATGGATTATGGTGACATCTGTTCAGAGATACCTGTATCCAATTTGCCTTCATTTGGCAGTTGATAATATCATCATCACAGATTCACAATCACAGGATTGTATATAACTACTTACTAAGGTGTCATTGGATATAAACTTAACCAATCAAAACTCAAATTTAACTCAACCTCACTATCCACAATATTATCAATATAATATTATAATATCAGCTAATCATTTTTACATATCACATTAATTTTATTTTACTATTCATCCACTCACATTATTTTAACTAACCATCACTTCAATTATTTTTTTCTACTTTACATCAAATCAATTTTAATTATTTTATTTTAAATATTATTTTAATATAAACTTAAATTGCAGCTAACAACTAGTCATACAACTTTTTTTGTACAATTAACTATAGTAAACAAAAAAACTAATAAAAAACCAATCAAATCCATATCCAATTACACCCTAAGTACATCAAATTGATAGCTGACAATGTAATTGTCAATAATATAGGAGATAAAAGAATATCATTTGAGCTAATCTCTTCAATATATCTAACAAAGAGATTTATTATTTCCCATTTTTGTCAAAACTGACCCAGAAAAAAGTTGATTAAAAGCTTTGGTTATCTGACAGCCCAATTAAAGAATTTTGACTGTTGAATCTTTTAACTGGCCTTCATGTTCAACCCTTTAATATAAGCCCAAACCCAAATTTCCAATCAAGCAAGTCTTCACTTTCATTGCCAATTTGGATCTGATGACAGCAGCAATCACAAAGAAAGATTAATCATATTCATACACTTAAAGAGCAGGAATTTCGAAGGAATTCCGAAAGTACAAGAAATGATAACCGTTACCCCATGGCACGGTATACCTTATTCATCGTCAACAATTTGGGAAAAAAATATGGTTCAAGTAGGAATTCCGAAAGTACAAGAGACGGTTTACATTAGTCATCGTCAACAATTTGGGAAAAAAATATGGAAGAGGACATGAATTGCTTCCTCTTAATGTATAGCCTGCAAAACTCTTCTTTAGCTTTGAGAGGACTCTAAATTTCTGACAAATTTTTTAGCCTGCAATTGAACAAGTGCAGTGAACAAGCAGAAAAAGTCTGGTCTGGCAGAAAATGGACGAGAAAGATTCGCAAATGAGTTAAAAACGGTTTTTAACAGATCAATCAATACCTGCTCTAACGTCAAAAACATGATCACGTTCCAAGAACCAAGCCTTCCAAAGTTGGGGATAAATCCTTTGTAGAATGCTAAAGGTCCCTGAAAAAAGTGCCACGACATAAACTACCTTAGAACAAATATGACTGGAATGAAAACTTTTTGAACATTTAAGCTTCTGAAGTCATTTGCTATTTCAAGCCGGAATAAGTATTAAGACAATATAAAAGGAAAACTAAATAACAGAAAAGAAATGAAATAGAGATGACATTTCCAGATATATTATAAGCAGAGGGCCTTCAGCACCAATTTCCCCTACAGTAATCTAGCACTTTGGCAATCTCATCCTTGAACTCACATCATTTTTCAAAGTCTTGACAAAACAATCAAGTGTGCTTTTGTAAGCCGAATCACCCATCATCCTCGATTTGACCTACCAGAAAAGAACAAAACCGAAGTTAGTTTCCATGTCTTTACCTTGTGTCACATCAGTAAATCTTCTTGCACGAACCCAAATTGTATTTATTCAAGATGTACGTTTCATACCACATCAACCGGTGAGCCTATGCAGACTGCAAAGAAACCTGCTCCTAACCCAGCTAAGAGATGGGTGAAAACGTTATCCGAGAATCCAGGGATTTTCAGGATCGTCTGCATCAAATTAAAAAACATTTGGTTATTGAAAAGAAAATGACAAGCAAAAAATAAAGCCAGTAGACATGTAAACAGGCCAGACCTGCTTCACTTGATCATAACTGGCTAGCTCAGCAGCATTTATAATTGCATTTCGCATAATATTAGGTCCTAGTCCAGTCCACAAAGCTGTAACACCTTCCTACATTTTCCAATAGGAAATTGAAATTGAGAAGAATCAAACCACGTTATCGCTTTAAATGAAATGGAAAAGTGCAACAGACAATGAAGCGAAAACAAGGTTCACAGGTAGACCTGTCTCACAATAGTAGAATAAGCATTCAGTGCCCCCGAATAACGCCTGGGCACGCCAGGTGGAAGTTTCCCCTCAGCTTGAAGTCTTACTTTAACTAGATCAGTTGGATTGGCAATGGCAATTGCCAGACCACCTAATGATAACCAAACTTTCGAGTATTATCACGAAATGGAAGAAAAAAAGACGTATAAATTCCATATATAAGGCTCTCACCAGTCGTGAGGGCAGCGAGGATTTTCTTTGACAGTGGAACATCTCCAACGTGATCTTTTCTCACATAGAAGGTTTTAACCTATTGAGGTACACAAACAGTAGGTGCGAAACACTATAAATAAAAAATCAAACAACCACAAACAAATATAAAGAAATTTTTCAAGGAGAAAACATACGGGTTCATATAATCCAATCCTTAAACCTCCGAACAAACATTGACGGTGTAATCCTGGCACAATACCCTTCCACAGTGCAGACAGCCCTTCTTCCCTAGCTATAGTACCAACTGTTCCTAACAATCCTCGATATTTGGGCAAACCCAAGCCATCTCCAGCAACTGCTTTCTTCTGCAATTGCAGACGAACTTTGGCGGTATCCAATGGAATAGTACAGATCTACATGGAGAGAGAAATTTTTGCCTGTTAAACAAATAAGTACCATAAATTTGTATATAGCATGAGTTTCTAAACAAGCTCTATGTGTATATGAGCATTCAATTCTAAAGCAAATATGCACATCGAAATTTCAGAATCAAACACGTCCAGATTTTTCTTCAACTTAGAAACCATCACACCTTAGTATTGGATACGCTCGAGTACAACTACATTACTGTACAATACATGAACAGTAGATACAATGTCAGCAAAATCAACTTTTCAAACTAAATCAACCTAAACGGACCAATTTAAAAGACATGACATGCCAATCTGAAACATCACTAACTTCGACAAGCACTGAATAAAATCGACAAACACCAGATACACATTGAATTATACACATAACTTGCACACAACAATTTTCGGCTGCTAAACAGCAATTGAGACTTCTTGTGATTGGAAACTCAGAGACCAAACCAAAGCACACAGAATTCAACACAATCGAGTACAACCAAAATCACATCATTCAAAAGCCAGAACAGCAAAATCAACCCCCAAACTACATATACATTGGAATTCACTGCAAAAACAGGACAAAAAACTACTCCGATGTGCACCACAAGCACGAAACAGGACAAACACAGCATCAAAAGCCGCAGCTACACTGAAAACGACCGACGGAGAAAGAACAAAAAAAAAACAGTATACCTCGGCGAAGCAAGCTGCAAAAGCACTACTGGCAAATGTTCCGGCGAACGAAATGTCCGATTTGGGCTTGCCGTGATCCGCCATCGCCAGCTGCAATACAAGCAGCAAAAATTGGGAAAAGATGGAGAATTAGATAAAAATGATACTAAAATAATGCGCAGAGGAATCTCGGGAAAAGCGAAGGAGAAAAAAAAGCGGTGAATGGGATTTGCAGAATTTGGGTTTTTGTTTTGCTTCCATTGTCAGTTATCGCCTCTGTATATTTATTAGTATTGGTTGGTTACTACATTTCTGACTTCTGACTTCTGAGCAATTTTGGCGCTTTTTACTTTATTTTCCCCCAAAATATTTTTATTGAAATGAATTGAAAATGTAATAATTTGATTTTAATTAGTGTGTTTGATTATAAATAAATTCAATCTATAATCAAAATTTAACTCAATTTTAATTCAACCACATTATCTTTAATATTATCAATATTAATATATTTAAGTAATATCAATCAATCATTCTTATATATCACATCAGCTTTAATTCATTATTTATCTATTCACATAATTTTAATTAATCATCATTTCACATCATCTCTTTTATATTTTTACATCAAATCATTATTAATTATTTTATTTAAATATAAATTCAAAATCTCACTAACAACTAACCATATCACCATTTTCAAAATTAACGCTGGTTAATAATAATAAAAAAAAAAAAACTCATTTTAAGTGGATATATTTGTACCCAAGCACACCCGTCTTTAGGAATTCAGTTAACCTATTTGTCGTTGCTTTAATATGACAGTCCAAGCAAACCTGGTCTTCAGAACCGAGTCAAATTGGGCCAAACCAATTTGTCGTGACTTTAAGATGACAACCAAGTTAACTTGGCCTCCAGAACCGAGTCTGACCGAGTTGAACCCATTTGACATGGCTTTAAGATGACGGTCCAAGCCAACTTGTCCTTCAGAACCGAGTCAAACCGAGTAAATTGTAAACGAGCCGAATCGAAATGAATACTCAACTATTTAATTCAAATTCTTAAAAATATCCGACTACTCGCATTAGTATTTGGTTCGTTATCGAATTTAATTTGTGATTCGTATTCAATTTAAAATTAAATAAATCATTTATACTTTTTCTTGCACTTGATAGTATTTTAGTCCATTACTCTACAATCTACACAACTACTACAAAATTAACTAAAATAACCAAAATAACAGCATGTGGACAAGGAATCCACAAAAAACACTTAAAACCTTTCATCTGTTTTACAACCTTAAATAGTACATATTATGTGATCTACCCAGACCCTGTACAATCTGCTAATAATCTCATTGCCAACAATAATACCAACAAATAGGAAAAAAAAAATACAAAGATAATGACACGCTCCGAATCGAATTGAATTCTGCTGAAAATCTACCCAAACATGTTTTTTCACTCCCTCTTTTTTACTTTTAAATTTATTTTTTTCCATGTACTCGATCTTAATCGAGCAAATTTAAGGAGCCTTCTGAAACGAACGTGAGGAGACTCCATGCACGAGTCTCACGAAACCCAAGAAGCTGAGCTTCCCGTCCGAGTGTCTTATCCAATCTTGCAGTACCACGTGTACAGGAACAGATGGACTAAGCCCGAGTTCCTTTACTCCCAAAAAAAAGAAAAGAGAAAAAGGTGAATGTTAGGGAAGAAAAAACAAAAAGAACAAGACATATTTCTCGAAAGTATTCTAAATGGAAAATACCGCGCGAAAACATTGGAAAAAAGAAAGTTAAACTCACTTGCATCAAGTTCATGAGGATAAGTGGAATTGAAATTGGAACAAGAAACCTTAGATTTGTGCTTGCTTAGAATAATGCAGTTCCATTCTATTTGAAAAAAAAATAAGGCTAAATTGCAATTTTCGTCCTATCATGTAGTAATTTAGGTCCCACTCGAGAAACATATAACAATTTAAGTCCTCTAATTTAAAATTTTACTGCAATTTCAATCCTTTTGACAGCCACCTTAGGTTTGTGCTTGCTTAGAATAATGCGGTTCCATTCCTTTGAAAGACAAAAAAAAACAAGGCTAAATTGCAATTTGGGTCCTATTAGGTTATGAAACTAGCAATTTAGGTCCCAGAGAGACATAGCAATTTAAGTCTTTTAATTTAAAATTTTGCTGCAACCTCAGTCTTTTTGACCTAAATTGGGAATTTCGACGGCCAAATGACTGAAATTGCAGAAAATATTTATAAAACAAATTATAGGACTTAAATTGCTATATGACCTAAATTGCTACCTTCATAATTTGATATAATAGGACCCCAAATTTGCAATTTGGCCAAAAAAATAAAATAAAATAATTCCTAAAATTGTGATGGTTTATACACTAGACCATCAAATATACGTCATACGATTATGTGAGAGACAGAGAGAGAGAGAGAGAGAAGAGGCATACAGAGGCAAGTTCCTCTATCATGATTGGTCGGTTTCCATCTTTCTCGAAAAATTCATATGCAGTGCGTGCGTGTTGTTCCCAGCTGCCAAGTCCTTCCAGCTGATGCACGCTTATTGCAGCAGCACAAAATTCCTCGAAATCGAATTTTTTGTACTGAAGAGAACTCACCTGAGACATGGGACAAAAGGATAAAAATTCATAATTATCTTTCAGAATTGCTACAAAAGAATACATCGGCATTTTCCAAAAGGCCCACCAAAAAAAATAAAAGTAAAAAAAATTACCACGTTGACATAATCAAGAACTCGTGAATCCTTCATTGCATCAGTCGAATTCTTTGTCATAGCCTGTAGAGTCAATGTAAGTCGATTGGCAGCAAATTTGGTGCAAGTAAACAAATACACGCGCACACACATTATATATATTTTTGGCTAAATTGCAAATTTGGGTCTTATTAGATTATGAAAGTAGCAATTTGGGTCCTAGGAGTGACATATAACATTTTAAGTCTTGTAATATAAAATTTTGCTGCAATTTTAACCTTTCGCTGTCAAAATTCCCAAGCTATTTATTTGGGATGGATTTTGATGAACATTTAAGTCCTAATTTGAACGGTTAAAAAAAAATGAAATTGCAGCAAGAACTGAAATTGAAGCAAAATTTTAAATTACATGACTTAAATTGCTATATGTTTCTCCATTCAGTGGGACCTAAATTGCTACCTGCATAATATAATAGGACCAAAATTGCAATTTAGCCTATATTTGTAGAGAGCAAAACAAAACCGACCAATTTGAAGTTGTTGAGTGATATAAATCCACTTTTACTCGGCCCCAACAGTGTGAACTGTTCCCGAAGATAGGCTAGTTGAGGTATTGTCAATGTTTTAGCCAGAGCCTATCATAAGAAGCAAAATACAGAGTTCTTAATTTTGCCTAACTATATGGAGATAATTTTTTTCAGGACAAAAAAATTTAGTATTATTCCGAAAATCTCAGGAGAAAATGAGTAGAAACGAAAAGAAAGGAAGAAAAAATAAAAGCAGTTAATGAATACATACCCCTAAAGCAGTCTTTCTCAAAGAAGAAGAACAAATATAAGCCTTTACGAGCCTATATACTATCATATCCAGAGGAATTTTCATATCATGAAATCCAACCAGCCATGGATGACCTAGAACATGAAAGTATGATGTTATTAGTATGCAATATTGAAAAAAAAAATAGCCTTGTATCGTATTTTGTTGCGTTGATAAAAGCCAATAAAGCATTTCATTTTTCAGATAATATATATTCCTCTAACAATACTGTTGAATATCAATGAGGTAGAATAAAACATTGACTATCGTAAGTACAAATAAATTTAAGAATTCAAGATAAAGATTTCGGCCACCTAAAATCATACGCCTAACAATTAAGGAATAAATAGAAAAGTTTCCGCTAAGGCTAGTTCAATCAAACAATTTATTGATGTAATTAGGCTATAGATATCATGTATTCGCATGCATGATATAAGAACATTCAACATCAATTACATATCAAAATTGCGTTTTTCTCAAATCAAATTATTTATTCATTTTTCAAAATTATAATTATCTCTCAACTTTTATTTATTCTTCATAAACCAAGCTCTCCAAAAGGGAACCACTCTTCAAAATGCTTAATTGCCTTTTTAATCTTGTTGATTTAACGTCATAGTAAATTTTAGTCCCAAGATTCTAACATCTTTCTTTTGGTCATGTGATTTAATCCCAAATTTATAGATTTTTTATTAGCAATTTAAGTCCTATAATTTAAAATTTTGTTGCAATTTCAGTTTTGTAATTTCAGTCATTTGAGGACTGAAATTGCAGCAAAATATTAAATCACGAAAAGGCAAAAAGTTGGAACCTTGGAACTAAAATTGCTATGACGTTAAACCTTTTATATCTACTTCTTGATGTCATTAACACTATTTTTCTTTTTATGTAAACACTTACTCAGAGCTTGTGCAGCTGTTAGTCTCTTGCGATAGTCCTTATTCAATAATCGTTTCACAAAATCTACGGCATCACGAGACAAATCGGGCCAAGGAGCTTCTTCAAAACTGGGGTCGGCCTTTAGAACGGCCCGGAAGATTCCAGATTCTGTCCTTGACCAAAAAGGCCGGCTCCCACATAAAAGAATATACGAAATAACACCAATACTCCACATATCGGCCTCTGTACCATACGATCGATGCAAAACCTCGGGAGCTACGTAATAAGCACTTCCAACAATATCATTAAGCCTTTCGTCTGTGGAATAATATACATTTTTTTCTTGTCGTCAAACTCAACTTGGCCATAATGGTTTTTTTTCTTTTAAGCATGTAAAAGTAGACTTAGTATTAGTAATAACCTGGCTTTACATAATCGGAAAGTCCAAAGTCGATGGCTTTCAGAGGGGAATGCTTGTCTTTTGTTGTGAAGAGAAAATTCTGACGCGGGCATGAGAAATATCCGTGGAAATTTAGTAAAACATTTAACATTCATATTTTAGCTAATATGGTTGCATTTTGTTCGATGTTAAAGAAAGTAGATAATCAATAATCAGAGTGGAAGTTTTAGTTTTAATCAATCTTTGCAGAATCGCTTTCAGATATTAATAATCAGTGAACAATTTAAAGTGTTGGCAGAAAAACAAAGAAAATTATATTAGGTTCAAAAAATTATTAAGTAATAACAATTAAAATGCCACAATACCTCCGAGAAAAAGTCTCGATAAGCCTCTAAAAATCAACAATAACATAACACAAAATGATCCTATCTCGAAGAGATTACAAAAATCAAGGAAAGCAAGTTGCATTTAGAATCTTTGCTCGACAATTAAAGAATAAATATCCAAATCTTAAGATCCAACTACTTGAAAAGGCACCAAGAAAACAAAAAAAGGAAATGACAAGGAAAAAAAAAGGTAATATGTTAGATGAATCAACAGATATACCTCAGGTTTTAGGTCACGGTGAACGACACCTTGGAGATGACAATATGCAACCACACTTAAAATCTGAACGATAACGATTTTTGCATCTTCCTCTGAATATTTCCCACCCCTGAACCGAACAAATGAGGAAAATTACTAAGAAGTCCTCAGAGCATGAAAATACATTATTACATAATAAAAGATACAAACATCAAGAGTACCTAGATAGAATACGGTCCAGTAGTTCTCCTCCTTTGCATAACCTAAAGAAACAGTACAAAAAAGTGGCATTTTATTTGGTTAAACGTCAAGTAAGAAGAAAAAAAAAACTTTAAACAAAAAATATAAATCTCGTGCCCCATTATAAAAACTAGTAAAGATTATAGTATCATTGGCAAGCACATTGACCCTCGAGACAAAATATTTCGAAAAAAGGAGAAAAGAGGAAAAAGGCTATCTTTTTATCCAAACCATGTAAAAACGACAGTTTTTTACAGAAACGAAGAGTGATGCTAAAAATAATGAGATAATACGAAATATAGGGTGCTAAAAAGAGTGTAAAACAAGATTTAGACAGTTCAAAAAAGTTCAAACTTACTCCATCACTACATAGACATTGTCTTCATCTTCATAGGCATCGTAAAATTGCACCAAGTTCTTATGTCCTGTTAGTGCACGCAACATCTTTACTTCTCTTCTCACATCCTCTATGGCGATTGCTGTAGTCATCTGCACAAATAATAACAAAGTATTTTTATTTGAATGTTTTTTTTTTTCGTTTTTAATGTTTTTCTCTGGTAAACCAATAGATACTATATTCAAAGAAAGTTTCTCAAATGCAAAACTATGCATTGCTTGAACAACCGTAAGCATGCTGGCACTTCCATGAACAACTTTGCATTAACGATTGATCAAAAAACAACAAATGAAACATATAATAATTAATAATGCAAAATTAGAAACTATAATCAGCAGATCAAAGAAAAATGAAAACTTGGGATATTTTCATCACCTTCAAGTATTTCTAATTCCACATAGCAATGATGGTTTTTTTTTTCTAAGGCATACACAAAAAGAAACAAAAGAACCACAAACAAGACATAGTAGTGCATACAAAAGAACAAGCTGAAAGAAATGCCAATCAACCAAAACATGTATCAACTTAAGAGAATCAGCAGAGAATTATACTAAACATTTAAACAAGCACAAAAATAGGCAATCCACATCAATTTTCTAAACAACAAACAAATCAAATCTCAACCTGCGATTTCGGTATAACTTTAACGGCCACATCCTGCCCTTTCAAGCTCCCCTTCCTCCCCTTAGCAGAACAAGTGTACCCAAAATGCCCTCTCCCAACTTCCTCCCCAATCTCATAACAGGTGCTAAAATTCCTTAAAAACCCAAAATTTTTATCCAGCCCAATTGCAATCTCATCACACTCACTCCCCTCCGGTATGGTGGCCTCGTTCGGCTTGATCGACCCGTGCCGCCTCAAGAGAAAGGCCTTAATGTGCTTAGCTGGCGATGGCGGTGGAAAAGGACGTTTGAGAAAACGAAGAGGGGTTGAAGGGACACTGCTGGAATTTGCAGGTGAAGTCTTGAACAGACTTGGTAATGGGCTCGGGCTGTAAAATGGGAATTTCGGGGTTTTGCCGATTGAGGGTCTGTGGGTTTGTTCATCTTTTTCGTCGAGGACTATAGGGCAGTCGGCTAGGTTTTTGGGGGGCTCGATGGGTTTACCATAACAAAGCCCCATGGCATCAAGGGAAATTTTTCAAGAAAAAAATGAGTGAATTGAAGGTGAAATAGTTTCAAATCAAGAAATTAGAGGAAATTCATACCGTTGTAGGGGAAATTGGAACTCCAGTGAAGCTAGAAATCAATTCATACAGAAATAGTTAAAAATTCGATCTTTAGCACAATAACACGAGAAAGATAGAATTTTTGAGCTTGATGAGAAGAAATCAGGAAGTAATACAAATGAATTAATTGCCAATCCCAAGAAAACAAATCCAAAAATCTTGTCAGGTGGGAAAAGGAATAAAAATAAAGGAAAAGGGTTCTTTTGTAAGTGAGCAATGGCACAACAATAGAAAAAGTTTGGAAGGAAAAAAGAATCAGATGAATGGGGCACAAAACTGAGATCAGCTGGGAAATTGGTAGAAATAGCAACTTTGAAATCACCCAAGACAAATAAAAGATAAAATTTTTACAGTCAAAATAAAATTGGAGAAAAAGAAAGAAAAGAAGGAAAGAAAATATGGCAACTAAAATATACCACAAAGGCACAAACATTGGAAGGTCAAGAATATGAGTGTGGGACTGAGGGAAAAAAAAGCAGCTAAAGTGGGTGAGAAAAGATGCTTAGCAGATGCTACAAGAAAAGAGAAGAGACTTCAACCCCTTTTTTCTAATCTCTTCCCTTGTTTTTCCAATCTTCTTCTATATATTTTAATCTACTTTCAGCATTTTTTATTACACTTGTTTTCTTTGGGTAATTACATATAAATGGACCAAACAACGGTTTAACAATATTTTCTTTAACATATATACAAATTCACAAATACTTTTGTTAAATAGTTAGATAATTATATTTTTTTATAAAATACTTAGGGTTGTAAATGTGTCATGTTAGGTCCAAGCCATAATGACTCGAGTCGATCTCTGCTCGTTAACTACACCAATTGATAATTAAGTTCGAATTCGACTTGTTTATCAATATTACCAAATCAAGTCCGAGCCTTGATGAGCCAACTAATGTCTTAACGAGCATAACTGTAAGGAAATTATATAAAAAAAATATAGTTTTAGTCTTAACAAGTCGAGTTAAGCTTAATAAACTTTCAATGAGCTCATGATAAACGAGTCGACCTCACGAGCGACTCGTTTTGTTTAACATTTATAATAATATTCATACTTGTATGATAAGATGTCATACTTTATATCAATTTTTAAAGTATGACATTTGAACATGAATATATATGTTGGTTCAAATAAAAAATAGTCCTGGTATGAGAACCGTGAGAACCATAGTTGATGTTATTTTTAATTATGTATGATACTATTTTTAATATTATTTCATAAATGCTAATATAAATTGTGTTGCTATTTTTAATAAAATACAAAAGAAAGAGCAAAGGTCAGTTACATCGAGCCACTCGCTTAAACATTATTAAAAATAGCACTAAAACACACTCAATCATAGCACTTCATACAATTAAAAATAGCGGTTCTCACACTAGGACTTGGTTCTCATTTGAACCACATCATATATATATATATATATATATATATTTGTTAGAAAAGTATGACTGTCTACTTATACACACATTAATATAAATACATAAATGAAAGTACAATATTTCGTATTATAATTACATACGTTTTTTTTAGTTATAATTACATACGTTTTTTTATTTTTAAATATCATCTGTCACTCTGTTTAAATCACATCCCACAATTTTGTAAGGGACATTTTCATCTATCCTACAAGATTTTAAAAATATTGCAAAAATACAATTCATAAACAAATAATTACATCTCTACCTAATATGTAATACATAACTACATTAATGCCTAAAGTAAGTTACCATATCCATTCAACTTCCATCCCCCTTTTTGTGGGCTTGATTAAGAGAGAGAAATGAAAAATAATAACTGACTCATTTAATTCCTTAATTCACGCAGTTTTTACATTTGTAATTCACGCAGCCGTCAGGTGGTATATTTTGCGTTTATGTTGGTATATATTCAGTATATGTTACAATGAAGAACATGTCGTCCATCAAAAAATTATGTCTTCTTTATTTTTTTTTTATTTTTTTTACTTTTAGACATAAAAGTATATATAAACATATTATAGCAGTTACTTATATTCCATATACAAACAAATATACTGCAAATATACTGTACATATATACCTGTAACCCGTCGAACGTCTTCCTGTTAATGTCATGAGAAAATATACCGAGAATATACTGATAATATACCGTCGAACGTCTTCCTGTTAATGCCATGAGAAAATATACGGAAAAGATATTGATAATATACCGTCGAACGTCTTCCTGTTAATGCCATGAGAAAATATACCGAAAAGATATTGATAATATACCGAAAATTTTTAACTTTTACATACTATCGAACGTTTCCTATTAATGTCATGAGAAAAAATACTGAAAATATACCGAGTATAAACCATACATATACAAAAAAAAAAATCATCAGTTTATGCTTTGTCAATATAAACCATACATACAAATAAGGTAGCCCTTATATTATACAGAACATATACCCTATATATACATAACATATACCCGATTAATTCAATCTTCTTCCTTCTCATCCCAAACACGCCTCTCATCTCAAATCTTCTTC